CAGAAGAAAAGAGGATCAGCAAATGTGGAGAAGAAAGGTGATGGTCTCTAGTGTACTTACTGCAATAAGCCTCGTCATACCCTAGAGAAGTGCTGGAAGATACATAGAAAGCCTTTAAATCGAGATCAAGAAGGGGGACACAAAGGAGGCTCTTTAAGGAAAGGAGGACAAGTTTATGTTGCTGCTGAAACAAATGAAGGAAATAATCCAGAAACTGCTGCCCATCTTAACCATGAGGAGATAGAAAGAGTGAAAACCGTTCTTAGTAAGCTGGAAAAACCTACAGGTGTGTGTTCTTTGGCATACTCATGTAAGTTTCCACTTTCTTTTGGATTAAATGTCTCATATACACCTTTTAACCATTATTGGATATTGGACTCTGGAGCCACATATCACATGACACCATTAGCCAAACACTTCTCCACATATTCCCCATGTCCCAGCAACAAGAAAATTGCCACAACAGATGAAACCCTTATAACTGTAGTTGGTCAAGGAAATATCCAAATTAATCCTTTAATAACCTTAAAAGATGTTCTCCATGTCCCAAAGTTGTCCACTAACCTTTTGTTTATACAAAAACTTATAAAGGATTTGTCATGTAAAGTTTTTTTCAACGATCATTGTGTATTTCAGGACAAGGATTCGGAGAGGATGATTGGACATGCTAGAGAATGGAATGAACTTTATTATCTCGAAGATCCAAGTCTGCCCAACAAGAATAGAATCTCTCACTCCTTCATATCTGAATCCTTGATGACCAACAGAGAAAAAATCATGCTTTATCATTGTCGGCTGGGACATCCCTCTTTTGGAGTGATCAAAATTATGTTTTCCTTTCTGTTTACCAAGTTAAATGTTGAGAATTTTCATTGTGAGGTGTGTGAACTTGCTAAGCACAGGCGTGTATCTTTTCCAATAAGTAATCGAATTAGTAATTTCCCTTTTTATCTTGTTCATACTGATGTATGACGACCTTCTAATGTTCCAAATGTGTCTGGTGTTTGATGGTTTGTCATCTTTATAGATGACTGTACAAGGGTCACTTGGGTTTTCCTATTTAAACAAAAACAGAAGTCAATTCTGTCTTCCTAAACTTTCACTCCATGATAAAAAATCAGTTTGGTGTTAATATTAAGAGGCTTAGGTTAGATAATGCCAAAGATTACTTCAATCATGTCCTTAATTCTTTTTGTCAAAAAGAAGGTATAATTCATGAGTCCTCTTGTGTCAAAACACCACAGCAGAATGGGGTCGCAGAGAGGGAAAATATACATCTATTAAATTAGACTCGGGCATTGTTGTTCCAAAAAAGTGTCCCAAAAAATTTCTGGGGGGAAGCTGTCCTTGCAGCAACATACCTTATCAATAGACTACCCTCTAGAGTCTTAGGATCAAAAAGCCCTATGGAAGCTTTGTCTTCTTTCTATCCAAACCTGTCTACTACAAATAATCTTAAACCAAGAGTTTTTTGGGTGCATCTCATATGACCATATTCATAGTACAGACAGGGGGAAACTTGATCCTAGAACCTTAAAATGTGTCTTTGTTGGTTACTCACCCACTCTGAAAGGGTATAAATGCTACCACCCCCATCCAAAAAATTCTTTGTGTCTAGGGATGTTACCTTCAATGAACAAGAGGACTATTTCCATCAACCTTATCTTCAGGGGGAGAGTTTCAGGGAAGATAAGGAAGATAAGGAAAGTAGTAATTCTAGTTTTCCCATTCTTTCAGACTTGATATTTGAACCTAAACGAGATCATATTGAAAGTAGTAATTCTAGTTTTTCCATTCTTCCAGACTTGATATTTGAATCTAAACGAGATCAAATTGAAGCTGCAACAAATGAAACAAGTCAAGGAATTGGTCAAGAAAGTGAAATTAATTGTGAAGTTGATCAAGAAGATGTTGAAGCTGAAAAATTTGGTAAGAAGCTGGTGTATTCAAGGAAGACTAAGCCATTCCTGGGGCAAGCCATGTTTAGGAATCCAACTCGACTCCACAAAAAGAGGTAACAATTTTTTCTCCAGCTGTGCAAGTTGAAATTGAAACCCAAAATGATCCTAACCTCCTAATTGTCATTAGAAAAGGGACAAGAAAATGGACCAAACAACCACTCTACCCTCTCTCAAATGACCTGTCCTTTAAAAATTTCTCTCCTACCCATAAAACCTTCGTAGTAAACCTGAACACTATACTTCTACCTAATACCCTATCTGAGGCATTGTCTGACAAAAAATGGAGGCAAGCCATGGATGTAGAGATGGAGGCATTGGAGAAGAACAACACTTGGGAGTTAGTCACCTTACCAATAGGAAAGAGACCAGTTGGATGTAAGTGGGTCTATACAGTGAAATACAAGGTTGATGGATCAATTGAGAGATATAAGGCAAGAATAGTTGCCAAAGGGTTCACCCAAACCTATGGAGTTGATTATTTGGAGACCTTTGCTCCGGTTGCCAAAATGAACACTGTTAAGGTTCCAACATAAAACCAATTGGCTATATTTGGATTAGCCTAACATGTATTTAAACCATACCAAATGACATGAGGTAGGCGATGTGGGACTTTCAACACACCCCCTCCAACGAAGCCTGCCGGACCAGGAAAAGGGTACTTTTGACCCATGACAATAACCAGAAAGATGTTAGGCTTTGGCTCTGATACCATGTTAAGGTTCCAACATAAAACCAATTGGCCATATTTGGATTAGCCTAACATGTATTTAAACCATACCAAATGACATGAGGTAGGCGATGTGGGACTTTCAACAAACACAGTTAGGATGAAATTGTCCCTTGCAGCCAATTATGGTTGGAATTTGGAACAATTTGATGTTAAGAATGCTTTCCTACATGGAGACCTTGAAGAAGAAATTTATATGGAGATACCACCGGAATATGGTAGATATGTTGTTGCCAACACTGTTTGCAAGTTGAAAAAGGCACTATATGGGCTAAAACAGTCCCCCTTGAATGGTTTGGCAGATTTACTAAAGTTATGACAGGTCTGGGTTACAAACAAAGCCAAGGGGATCATACTTTGTTCTTTAAACATTCCAAGTCAGGGGGAGTAACAATATTATTGGTGTATGTGGATGACATAATATTAACTGGAGATAATAAAGAAGAGCAACAATTGTTGAGTCAATGCTTAGGCAAGGAATTTGAGATCAAGACCTTGGAAAAACTAAAATATTTTTTAGGAATTGAAGTTGCCCACTCCAAGAAAGGGATATTTATATCCCAGCAGAAATACATCACTGATTTCCTCAAGGAAACTGGCAAGACAGCTTGCAAACCTGCTAATACCCCATTAGAACCAAACCTAAAGCTGGGAAATGCAGAAGAAGATGTTGCTGTTGAAAAAGATATGTACCAGCGATTAGTGGACAGACTTATATATTTGTCGCATACCAGGCCAGATATTGCCTATGCAGTGAGTTTAATTAGCCAATTTATGCATAACCCAAAGGAGACCCATTTACAAGCAGCCCACAGAATTTTACAGTACCTTAAAGGAACTCCTGGAAGAGGGATTCTATTTAAAATGAATGGTAATGTAAAGCTTGAAGCCTATACTGATGCTGATTATGCAGGGTCAATTGTGGATAGGAGGTCAACTACAGGATATTGCACCTTTCTTGGAGGAAATCTTGTGACTTGGAGAAGCAAAAAGCAGGGTGTAGTGGCTCGGTCCAGTGTTGAAGCAGAATTCCGAATCATGGCACAAGGTATATGTGAGTTGCTATGGCTTAAAATCATCTTAGCAGACTTGAGGATAAAATGGTAAGAACCTATGAAGCTCTATTGTGATAATAAGTCAGCAATCAGCATAGCCCACAACCCAGTGCAACATGATAGAACAAAGCATATTGAAGTAGACAGACACTTCATCAAAGAAAAGCTTAATAATGGCTTGATATGCACTCCATATGTGTCCTCTCAAGACCAAATTGCAGACATTCTTACCAAGGGACTGAGCTGCCACAATTTTGAGAAGATTGTATCCAAGCTGGGAATGGAAAACACCTATTCACCAGCTTGAGGGGGAGTGTGGGAAATCAAATAGTATTTTAGGAAAGAATAAATTAGGAAATTTGTAATCTGTACAGATTTGAACAATTAGGAATAATCCCATAAATCAAGGGATCCTAGAATAAAATAAAGTTATTATATTTCCTAAAATAACTTAGGTTTCCTGTATATATCTTGTATGATCTCTTTGTATTAAAATAATAAAATAAGATTTCATTTAATCTAATTTTCCAAAGTTTGAGATCTTTATCATATTGTTACTTTGCCTGGTTTTAAATATTTTGCCACATTTATTAATGTTCTTTCAAAAATGTGTGTGGTTATGTTCAATAAAAAGCAGCTATGAATTAGCCACATTTATTAATGTTCTTTCAAAAATGTGTGTGGTTATGTTCAATAAAAAGCAGCTATGAATTATTTTCTTTCCTTGAGAAGTTTTATCATTAAATAAAACTCACTTTAGTTTCCCTATATGGTCTCTTCACAGTGATAATGTATGTGAGTATTTACTTCATAAATTTCAATACTTTATGGCATGGAAGGTTATTCTTTATCAAACATATGATGCCCACTCTTCCAACAAAATGAGGTGGTTGAGCACAAGAATAAATATGTTTAGTCAAGACAATTCATACACTTCTCATGACTATGTTCCCTATGTTTTCAGAGCTATTTTGTTCTAACGAATTGCTTTCTTATCAACTACATTGCTTCCTGTCTTAAAATGAGCAGGTTCCCCATTTTGGACTCTTTCCTCATTCCCCACTTTATACATTTTCTTTGTGTATTTGGCTCAATTTGCTTTGTTCACAATGACTCTGGGGATTGACAAGCTCATGCCATGGTTCACCACAGGCATCTTCCTAGGTTATATCAATCACAAAAGTGTTATCAACACTTATATCCTATCCTTCTAGGATATTTTATTTCAGTTAATGTCTCATTTTCTGGTCTGCTCAGTCTCCCTTTGACATATCATCTGTTGTCCCTCTTGTTATTCCTGCTCTTGTTCCACTTTCATCTTTTTCTCAAAATGACCTAGTGGTGCATCAAGATCATGCGGAGCTACCAACCATGTAATCTCTTTAGACATTAATGTCGCCAATGCCTTAATACCATTGCTACACTAGCCCCTGGTTTGGCTCGTGACAATATAGTAGAGGCCATGCCATACTCTTTCTCGGTGACATCTTTATTGGATCTTTGCCTTCCTCTAACATTGATTGGTCAACTGCTCTCTGAAAAGGTATTTGTTATACTCGAAACTCATTTCCTCACGATATCAACCTTAGTTCTCATTGTCTCTCTTCTTTGATTAATGCTTGTCTTCTTGTCCTCGGTGTCTATCCCTAACAAATCTAGGTGAAGCATTATCAAGATATTAAATTATTATACATTCTACATTTCTATGTGAAGAACTAAAGAGGTTGACTCATTACATGTCACAGTTCTGTGTTAATGGAATTTATTGTCACTTTCATATTGTTGCTTCAGTCATGCATGTCATTTTTCAAAATTCTTTGGTCTTGTTTGTTTCACATTTTTGTCTGCAAATTTTTAACTCCCATGTTTTTGTGATAGTGACCGTTCTAGAATCTTGAATTAATTTCCCAATACTTGATCTTTTGTTGGGGGTGTCCTTTACTATCAACTGACAATTTTTTTCTTTTTAATTCTTTTAAGAAAAGGAAACTTACCAGTTGATGGGAGAAGGAGATTTGCTAATATTAGTGTAAAGTTTCCTCTCATTAACCATGACACAATGCAAACAAAAGAATAACATAGAAGTCGTCAAGTCTCTTTGAATGTTTGGTTAAACATGTTTAAAATTGTGATTAGGTGATCAAGTTGCTAAATGGTAATACTCTTGTCATTTGCTAATGTTTTCATGTTTGCTTCATTTTCTTTCCATTTCAGATTAATGCCTCTTCTTCCGAGGATGGGCTAAACTTTTATGATTCTGGTCATCGCTTTGAGCATTCACAACTTTTGTTAGTGCTTTTGCATTCCCTTCCATTTGCACCTAGGCCACTACAGAGCAGAGCACTACAGGTATTTAGCTTAACCGTGCTCAATTTTTACTACATGCATCTGTTACCTATAAATTGTATATTTTTTTATTTATGAGGTGTTTGCTGTTTCATGTGATGAAATCCTCAATACATCTCGCTTGTACATTGATGTACTGCTTAGTTTATGCATTTCAATTTCTTGCATTTTATAGTTTATTGGGGCCTAAGTTTGCTATTACTTGAAGATTTGAAAATAATGCTGAAACACAGATTTGTTGACCGTGGCTGGTAAAAAACTAAAACAAAAGACAGGCTTGGTTGAAGTCTAATTTTTTCTTTTATTGGCAGTCTCCCCTCCTCCATCCCCCATTTAATTAATGAACATTAACTGTATTTTAAAACCATGCTTGATAGTGAAATTTTCCGGTAGCATTTCAATGAGTTTTCCTAGAATATATTCTTCAGTTCTGCCCACTCCTTTTCTCCCATTAGTCCTAGTATACTGAGCACCAGAAGTAGGAAAATGACCAATTTAGTATTATCAATCCAATCTTCAAATTCATTCATAAGTTGTCTTTGAGGAGGGCCATGACCTTTATATTCATGTAATCCAATAGCATAGCAGCATTGAAGTACCAATGCAGCACTTTTTGAGCTTTTCCTCTGTGTGAAAGGGAAACCCTTGGAGGAACATATGAGAATATCATTTGTATTTCTGTTCTTTTGCAGTAAAGAAATAATATCTTTCTTTTATTTTCTAATCATGGTTCCTAACATCAACACATGGATTCTTTCAGAGTCCCACTGTTAGAGACATGCAAAGGGAACTAAAAGGAGATTATTTTATTTCCTCTGTATTTCTGTTTTCACGTAGTCCTTCTTTCCTGTACATTTTCTTCTCTTATCAAATAGAACAATTAATTTGGGGGGGGGGGGGGGGTAAGTGTATAATCGGTTCCATTTTAGCATCTCTGATTTTCTTCCAGATATTATGACAGAAATTCTGTTCTTTCATGACTTAAGTACTTTTTGTCTCAGTTAAATTAAGGTTGTTGTATATGCCACAGCCATATAGGAAATTTTCTATGGAACTTTTTCAAAGGAAGTAAGACTTCCCACTTATGGATATATTCCTAGATGACATCTTTTTAATACCAGCTAGTTTTAAGCTGCTTGTTTGTGTATGATTTCAGGATCTTCTATTTTTGGCTTGCAGTCATCCTGAAAATAGAAGCAGTCTGACAAGCATGGAAGAATGGCCTGAGTGGATTCTGGAAATCCTGATCTCAAACTATGAGGTAATAATATTAATAAAAACCAAAGTTCTTATTCTCTGTCTCTGTGTTTTTTAGTTGTCTTCATTTCTCTTTAATAGTTTTTGTCATGTAAACACAACAAATTCATGGCATCTTCTTGTGTACTACACATATTTGTATGGTTGCTGGGAAGATTCTTTAATTGTTCAACTTATGCATTTCTGTTTGACAGGTGGGTCCTAGCAAATTATCTGATTCAACAACCATTGGAGATGGAGACATAGAAGACCTTATACATAATTTCCTTAGTATCATGCTAGAGCACTCAATGCGCCAAAAGGATGGATGGAAGGTTGAGATTTGCTAGATTGTTCATTTCTTTCCTATCTCCTCCTAATTGATGTTACTGCCAATTCTTGCCCAGTTTTCTTTTTCATTGTGTTTCTGTTCACATGATACTCTTGGGATAGTATGTTTATGTGTTTCCTCTATCTTTATTAAGTTTTATATGTTAGGAAATACAAGTGTGATTCTAAGTCCCATATTGGGTAAGGATGAGAAAGTGGAGCAGCATATAAGGAAGTATGACCCATAACCCAATGCCTTAAAGTTTTGGGTTGAGAATGGTGTTAATCCCTTATGTGGGTTTAGCTCATGTCTCAATGTTGTGTTTCTCCCCTGTGAACCCCCTTCAAAAAATCAATAAGTGGTATTAGAACCGAAGGTTGATCAGCAGTGGGTCAGAGTGGTCTTTGTATCGAAAGTCTTTCTGACAGAGTGGGTCAGGTAAGCGTGTTCTATTAGAGTGAACGATGGTACATAAAAGGGCTATTGATGAGTTTGAGGGGGATGTACCAATGTAGAGGAATTCACACTTGAGGGGGAGATTGTTAGGAAATACAAGTGTGATTCTAAGTCCCACATTGGGTAAGAATGAGAAAGTTGAGCAACATATTAGGAAGTATGACCCATAACCCAATGTCTTAAGGTTTTGGGTTGAGAGTGGTGCCAATCCCTTATGTGGATTGAGCTCATGTCTCATTGTTGTGTTTTTCCCCTGTGAACCCCTCTCAAAAGACCCAACAAGGATACAAAGACCACTCTGACCTACTGTCGATCAACCTTCAGCTTTGATACCATTTGTGTTGGGTCTTTTGAGGGGGGTTCACAGGGGAGAAATACAACAATGGGACATAAGTCCAACCCACATAAGTGATTGATACCACTATCAACCCAAAAGCTTAAGACATTGGGTTATGGGTCATACTTTCTTATATGTTGCTCAACTTTCTAATTCTTACACAATGTGAGACTTAGAATCATACTTGTATTTTCTAACATTATATTCCATTGGCTTGGGTTATAAATGTTGAACATCAAATATAAACATTTCTTGAAGTTGCAATCAATTTGTAAATCCTTTTTGATTCCCAGAGGCTTATTGTGGTTTTTTGATATACAAAAGACTGCTTACTGTGCTCAGTGTTGCCCATTGTGTCCAGGATATTGAAGCGACAATTCATTGTGCAGAATGGCTTTCTATTGTTGGTGGATCTAGCACAGGAGAACAACGACTAAGGTAAGTTTATGCATCCATTACGAGCACAAGTGTTTACTTATCCAAATCTTCTAGAATGTTATTTGACTTTTACTGAAATCAGGTTTGGTTCCATTTCTTCTTCTTCTTTTTTCGATGCTGTCTGGAATTGTTTCCTAGCTAATCAGTTTACTGTCTTTTAGTATGAAAACATATATATTCAATATAACACCCTTCATTTGGCTATATATATATATATATATATATATCTGTGTGTGTGTGTGTGTAACAGCGTAATCCTACAAGTGGAGTCTGTTCTTGACATGGCATAAGAGCTTTTTTTAGACCACTTGATATTCAAACTGAGAAAAAGTGTTTTTAGAGGGCTTGAAGAACCCCTCTCATAGTTCTGTATTTATATAGATAAAAACTGATACAATAGGGAGATTACATTAAATGCACAGTCCTAGATTACTCCTCAGAACTAGGTGCAGAGATTATCTAACACTCAACCCCCTGCAGAGATTATCTAACACTCAACCTCCTACCTTAGGTATAATGATTACATATATTTTCTAATTTATTCCAACACTCCCCCTCAAGCTGGAGCATACAAGTTGTATGTACCAAGCTTGGAACAAATGAACTCAATCCGAGGTCCCCTTAAGGACTTGGTAAACACATCTGCGAGTTGGTCATTTGATCCAACAAACTCGGTACATATTTCTTTTGTCAACAACTTTTCACGAACAAAGTGACAATCAATTTCTATATGTTTAGTTCTCTCGTGAAATACGGGATTTGATGCAATGTGGAGTGCAGCTTGATTATCACAATACATCTTCATAGTCCGGATATCACGAAGTTAAGCTCTTGAATGAGCTGTTTTACCCATATAAGTTCACAAGTTAGTGACGCCATTGCCCTATATTCGGCTCAGTTGTCGATCGAGCCACTACATTCTGTTTCTTACTTTTCCATGAAATAATGTTTCCTCCAAGGAAGACACAATATCCGAGTGGTAGACCAGTCTATCAACAAGTGAACCCGCCTAATCTGCATCACGGTACCCGGTGACCTGAATGCTTCCTTTATCTTCATATAACAATCCTTGTCCAGGAGCCTTTTTAAGGTACCTTAGAATGCGAATGATAGCATTCCAATGACCAGCACATGGAGTCTGCATGAGCCGACTAACCACTCCAACGACAAAAGATAGATCGGGCCTTGTAATAGTGAGATAAATCGGTTTTCCGACCAGCCTCCTATATCTCTCTGGATCGGAGAATACTTCACCTTCTTCGTTGTTAATTTCTTATTTGGGTCCATAGGACTCTCTACGAGTTTACGATCAATCATACCTGTTTCTTGTAATATATCAAGAGCATATTTTCTCCGAGAGATTACAACTCCATCTTTTGATTGAGCTACTTCAATGCCCAAGAAGTATTTTAGGCTTCCCAAATCCTTGGTTTGAAAATGTCCGCACAAGTACTCCTTCGATTGAGATATTCCAACGAGTATCATTTCCTGTAATGACTATATCATCAACATATACTATTAAGTAAACACATTTACCCGAGAGATATATGACAATAAAAGACTGAATGATCCGCTTCACTGCGTCTTAGCCCAAATTTTTGAACAATGGAGCTAAATTTTCCAAACCAAGCACGTGGTGATTGCTTGAGGCCATATAGAGAACGATGCAATTTGCATACTAGTTCGAGACTCCCCTGAGCAACAAACCCAGGAGGTTGCTCCATGTAAATTTCGTCCTCAAGATCACCATGTAGGAAGGCATTTTTGATATCTAATTGATGAAGTGGCCGATGACGAATGGCGGCCATTGCGAAGAAGCAGACGAATAGTGGTCATCTTGGCCACGGGAGAGAAAGTGTCACAATAATCAATGCCATAAACACGAGTGTACCCTTTTGCAACTAACCGGAGCCTTGAGCCGATCAAGCTGCACCATCGGGGCCGATTTTAACGACATATACCCAGCGGCAACCAAGCGCCTTTTTGCCCGGTGGAAGGGGAACGAGCTCCCAAGTAGCATTATGGTCAAGAGCTCGCATTTACGCAATCATGGCTTGTCGCCATCCAGGGTGATCAAGTGCTTCTTCCACATTTCTCGGAATAGCAATAGAAGATACTGAGGATAAAAGGGAACAATAGGAAGGCGACAACCGGTGATAGCTAAGAAAATTATAAATAGGATGTGGGTTTCGAGTGGAGCGAGTACCTTTTCTCGGAGCAATGGGCCATCCTGAATCACCTCCACCAGGAGTCATGGTAGGAAGCGATGTTGGAGAAGAATCTAAAGTGGGGGATTCACCCTCGTCTTGGAGAACGAGGACTAGCCATCGGGGTCCTATGATGGACAACATCAATTTGAGGGGAGGATGGTTCGGGAAGACTTGGATCACTACGGAGATCGATAGAGACATTGGAAATATTAGACTCAACTACTTGGAATGGGAAGAACCTGCTGTATGACATGAACATCTTGAACGAAGGAGAAAAGTAAGGAGTGCTGTTCAAAAAATGTAACATTGGCGAGACATGTAGTACTTCTTGGTTTCGGGAGAGTAACACCGATACCCTTTTTGAAGGCGAGAATAGCCCAAGAAGACACATTTGATAGCACGAGCGGAAAGCTTGTCTAACCCGGGAGACATATCATGAACAAAACATACACAACCAAAAACTCGAGGAGATGTGTGAAAGAGAGGATTATTTGGAAATAGAATGGAGAAAGGGATCTTATTGCGAGAGAGGAAGATGGCATCCTGTTAATAAGAAAACATGCGGTTAAGATGGCATCCCCCAGTGATGGACGGGAATATGAGCACCCGAGCAAAGAGTACGTGCGGTTTCAACCAAATGTCTATTTTTTCTTTACTGCTATACCATTTTGTTGTGGTGTATGAGGACAGGTGGATCGATGCAATATTCCATGTGAACTCAAAACAGGTAGAAAAGGTGGATGAGAAGTACTCTTTAGCATTGTCGCTTCTTAAAATTTTGATTACTTGATTGAATTGATTCTTAATTTCATTCAAAAAGGATGTAAAGATGGGTAACAATTCAGAGCGATCTTTCATAAGATAAACCCAAGTACATCGTGAATATTCATCAATGAATGTAACAAAATACCGAAAACCAAAAGATGAGATGCGGCTGGGTCCCCAAATATCGAGAATGGATAATAGAGAAAGCTGGAAGTACACTTGTGATTGAGACCGTTTAGGAAAGGTAGATCTAACATGTTTCCCTAGCTGACATGACTCACATTCTAAGGTCCGGAGACCACTTAAGTTCGGGACACATTCTTTTTAATTTTGACAAATGAGGATGGCCAAGCCGATCATGTAACATTTTAGGGCTCGAAGTAGCAACACGGGACACACGTGGACGAGGACCAAAAAGGTATAATCCTCCGAGCTTCATATCCTTCTCCAATCTGTCTCCCAGAACCACGCTCCTGTATAACAAAAGATTTGTTATCGAAGGTTATTGAACAATTTAAGGTTTTGGTTAATCGACTTAAGGAAATCAAATTGAAAGGACAATTAGGAATAAAAAGGACAGAGTTTAGGCTTATGGAGGGAGATAAAGAAACTTGGCCTACTCCCTTTGAGGAAGCTTTAGAGCCATCTGCAAGGGTTATGAAATGTTGTTTTTCTTGAAAGGAAATGGTTGAGAACAAGGAGGTATTACCGGATATATGATCGAAGCACCGAGTCAATTCCCCATGAATTTTGACCCTCCATAGATTGAGAAATGCAAGCGAGTTGATGTGCTTGGCGGTTTGAGAGGTATGTGCCAAGCTATTAGACTTTAACCGTAGATACTCTTGGTATTCGTCCTCGGTGAACTTGGAGTTGACGGTTTCGGCCTTGGAGACATTGGCGGTTTTGGGAGGAAAACCATGCAAGGAGTAGCGGTTCTCCGTGTATGACCCATCCTCTTACGGTAGGTGCATTGGGGACGTCCTCGACCTCCACGTCCTCCTCCTCCGGTGCCACGTCCTCCTCTTCCTCGTGTGGCAACCATGGCGAGATGGTTCTACTAGAGCCGAGCTTCCTGAGTCTCGGACATTGGTACACGAATCGAGACGTGTGATAAGGGTATCCATGGAAGGGACTTCATAAGTGGTCGAAGTTGATCTACGATATGGTTAAAGTCGGGATGTATTGCGCGAAGGATCATCACCATGTAATACTTGTCAAGCTTCTTTTTCATTTCATCTAAGGAATCGACTTCCAAGAACATCTTGAGTTCTTCCACAGTCGATCGGGCGTCATTCATAAAGGACACCATATCATGATCTTTCATTTTTAGAGATGCCGGCTTATTTGCGGAATCGTAGAGACGTTGAATATCATTGGCATAAATGGTTTGAGCTTTCTTCCAAAAGGAGTGACAAGTTTTGAAGGCTCTAAGCGACATCAAAAGTCTTGGTTCCACCGATTGCCACAATAGAGCACATAGCTGAAAATGCACTGTTTCCACTGTTCGGCTTTTTCTTCGGCACATGGCTTCAGTCTTTTTCAAGGTGGTCGTGATGCCCCCGACCGAGAAACCACATTTCGACGGTAGCGAGACCAAGATAGATAATTTTGTCCGTTTAGTTTTTCAGAAGTAATGGAGGGGCTTCCGGAGAATGAAATTGCAGCCATTTCGATCAAGAGGACAAAGACCGGTGAGGAGGGGGCGAAAACAGCAAAGAAGTCCGAAAGCCCAAGAGTGATTTTCGCAAGGGTGACTACTTGGACTTCACCGAAATGAAGAGGCGGCGCGTGGCGGAGAACAAGCTTCCGGGACCGACGGGGTTAGGCTGTCGCACGGCGAGACAATTCGGATCCGGTGGTCGCCGGCTAAAGCTCGGACGATCGGAGACGGTGGCCGGAGCGGCGGCGAGCGGTGGCGAGTCGGACGGTGGCCGGAGTCGGACGGTGGCCGGTGGCGAGACAGCGGCGGCAAAAACAGTGCCGGATACTACGAAACAGGCGAGAGCGGGATCGACCCGCTCGATACCAACTTGATATTCAAAGCGAGAAAAAGTGTTTTTAGAGGGCTTGAAGAACCCCTCTCATAGTTACGTATTTATATAGATAAAAGCGATACAATAGGGAGATTACATTAAATGCACAGTCCTAGATTACTCCTCAGAACTAGGTGCAGAGATTATCTAACACTCAACCCCCTGCAGAGATTATCTAACACTCAACCTCCTACCTTAGGTATAATGATTACATATATTTTCTAATTTATTCCAACAAGACCAAATTTTTGGGAGTTGAATCCTCCTTAAACATAAATTTCCATACAATGTAGGGCAAACATGCTTTGTCTATGCATAAGCCCAAATGGCTCTTAGGTGAGTTGGTTTAGGCATAACTCAACCCTAAAGGTAGTTCATAGGGTGAGAGTTTCCTCCCACTTATATATACTACTATTCTCTCCAATATCTCGAAACAATGTGGGATTTAGATTTTGCCAATAGTTATGCAACCAATCACGATCTTTTACCTTAAGTTTATGCTGTAGTTGAGTTGGTCCTTGATAGATTGCAAATTTGGAAGAGACCTCCTGTTCTCTAAATTCATTAGGAAGTATTATGTTTGGTACATATCACGTTACAATGTTTGGATTGTCGATGCTACTAATCCATATTTTCCTGAAGGGCGTGATTTGGACTAGGGTACTGGAAACTGCTGATGGCACAAAATTGCCTACTTCTTTAGAAAATCATTAATTGCATTAATTACTATGACAAAATAATCTTATTTGACTGACTCTATAAAATAAATGAGTGAGATTATAGTTGTAAATGATGAACACTTAGGTAAGTGAGATACTAACAAACCAAGGTTTTTTGGAAAACAAATAATTAATGCTTTCTAAAGTGACATTTTGAGACAGACCAAATTTCAGTGTGACACTGAAACTCAAGACAATAGATAGAATCTCAAATCATATGTAGTTTTTTCAATATAGAAAATAGGGACATCTTTTACCAAGTTCCAGGGTGGCTTCGATGGTTTGCTTGTCGGGAAGACACCAGCTTGGTTCCCCTCCTCCCCCCATCCCCATGGAAGAGACCCATCTTAAGCAGCTCCTATAGTTCATTTGATTGGATTTGTCCAGAAATATCTGACTATATGAAGTAAAGAGATCTTGCATGGAAGGGCTTTGCACTCGCTCAAGGATCTAAGACTAATGCTTCTCACTAATAGCATGCTACTTGGTACCTTAATAGTTGACTAAAAGGATTCTCTACTCTCTTTGTCCTCTTGGTCTAATCCGACATATATGTGCTACTAATGAAAGTTTATTCGATTGCTACTGATTCTAGAAAAAGGATTCATTTTGCAGCTGAGTCAATAGGAACTGTGCCCGTTGGGGGAAGCAACTATGTTGATAGTAAGATATTAAATGTACTGTTAGAAGTGGTTAGAAGTTGTAAAAAGATTAAATGTATTATTATAAGTGGTTAGAAGTTGTTAAGAAGATTCTAGAGATCTCCTTGTAATTATTCCTTTAGGGTTAGTATTCTCTATATATAGATGTTGATGTAATGTTTCATATCAACTCAATAGAGAAAACATCTTTCATTCAAATTAATTCCCTTTCAAGTTGGCATTAGAGCCCTAATCTTGGGGGTTTTGCTTCCGCATTTCTTCTTTACCGTTTTTGACACAGTTCTTCTTAAGGTTTCCTGAAGTGCACCGATTTCCTTTGATTATAGGGTTAGCTTGAAGTGCACCCAACTCAGTTCTACCACTACTGTTGCCACCACCAGAGCATTTGTCGGAGCAGTCGCCGTAGTCGCCACTGGAGCAGTCGTCAAAGCTTTCGTCATTTTTGGAATTTTCATCATTGTCGGAGTTGTCGTTGGAGCTGTTGTTGTCGGATCAGCAGTTTTTGGAGTCGTCACAAGCCTACGTTCTCTCTCCGCAACATGGCAACTCCAATGTTGATCTTCCTCATTTACCAGATGATGACTGCCTTAATGTTCGAAATTATCTCCAATGGGTTCTCTAGAAAAAATAGATTAACTGAAATATGATTTTTATTATATCAATACAAAGAGATGATATAAGATATATACAGGAGACCTAAGCTATTTTAGGAAATATAATAACTCTATTTTATGCTAGGATCCCTTGATTTATGGGATTGTTCCTAATTATTCAAATCTGTACAGATTACAAGGAAATATACAAATTTCCTGATTTATTCTTTTCTAAAATACTATTTGATTTCCCACACTCCCCCTCAAGCTGGTGAATAAATGTTTTCCATTCCCAGCTTGGATACAATCTTCTCAAAATTATGGCAGCCCAGTCCCTTGGTAAGAATGTCTACAATTTGGTCTTGAGAGGACACATATGGAGTGCATATCAAGCCACTATCAAGCTTTTCTTTGATGAAGTGTCTGTCTACTTCAATATGCTTTGTTCTATCATGCTGCACTGGGTTGTGGGCTATACTGATTGCTGACTTATTATCACAATAGAGCTTCATAGGTTCTTCCCAATTTATCTTCAAGTCTTCTAAGATGATTTTAAGTCATAGCAACTCACATAACATAAACGTGTCCTCCTTTCCTTCAGGAGCCTCCTTTGTGTCCCCCTTCTCGATCTTGGTTTAAAGGCTTCCCATGTAACTTCCAACACTTCTCTCGGGTATGACGAGGTTTATTGCAGAAGGTACACCAGAGACCATCACCTTTCTTCTCCACATTTGCTGATCCTCCTTTCTTCTGTTCGGTTACCATGACCAAAGTCTGATCTCCTTTATGGTCCAGTGTTGAGTTCTCTACTGCTGGATTCTCTAACATGAGACCCCTTCTACTTTCTTCACTTCTCACAATAGCCACCACTTCATTGAGGCATGGTACCTTTTGCTTCCCCAATATTTGAATCCTAACTTGATCAAATTCAGGATTCAAACCAACAAGGAAACCATAAACTCTGTCTTGTTCGATATACTCCTTGAGAAGTGCTGAATCTTCAGTACATTTGGCTTTTATAACTCTACAATGGTCTAGCTCCATCCACAATGATTTCAGCTGATTGACATATTCTGTAACAGTCTTGTTCCCTTGTTTTGCTGCCAAAGTTTTCACCTTTACTTCATATACTTGAGCAGCATCTTTGGCTTTAGAGTAGGTTTGCTCTACAGCATCCCAAATATCTTTTGCCGAATTAAGGAACATGCAAGTGTCGCTGATTTCTGGAATCATTGAATTCCACAGCCACGCCATGATCATTGAATCTTCTTCATCCCATGTAGTAAACTTGGGATCTTCTTGTTTAGGTCCAGACTCCATCAGGTGACTCAACATCCCCTTTCCCTTCAACACTGTACGAACAAGTTGGGCCTACTTCAAATAATTTCTTCCATTTAGTCTATATGCAAAATGAATATTCTACAGTTCTCCAGATTGCTGGGATTGGGTATTCCCTGTTTCTGGGTTTGGATTCACAACTTCCTCTTCCCTTGACATCATAGCAAGGAGGTGAGATGCAACAGCAATGCAGGCTGTTGTCTTAGGATTAAGAAAAATGCAGCAGCAATGCAGGCTGCCGTCTTAAGGTTAAGAAAAATGCAGCAGCAATGCAGGCTGCCGTCTTAGGGTTAAGAAATATGCAGCAGCAATGTAGGCTGCCGTCTTAGGGTTAAGAAAAATGCAGCAGCAATGTAGGCTGCCGTCTTAGGGTTAAGAAATATGTAGCAGCAATGTAGGCTGCCGTCTTAGGGTTTATCGCGCGCAGACATAGCTTCCTAGATCGGAAGCTCTGATACCATCTGGAAAAAATAGATTAACTGAAATATGATTTTTATTATATCAATACAAAGAGATGATATAAGATATATACAGGAGACCTAAGCTATTTTAGGAAATATAATAACTCTATTTTATGCTAGGATCCCTTGATTTATGGGATTGTTCCTAATTATTCAAATCTGTACAGATTACAAGGAAATATACAAATTTCCACATTTTTTCTTTCCTAAAATACTATTTGATTTCCCACAGGTTCAATTTATCAGATAGGAAATCCACCTTAGGATATTTTATGTTTTTGTGTGAAAATTTGGTGTCTTGGAGAAGTAAGAAACAAAATGTGGTTGCAAGGTCTATTGGCTCATGGGACGTTTGAATTGTTATGGCTGAGAATTATTCTAAATGATCTTAAAGTATCATGTGAAGAGTCTATGACTCTATATTGTGATAACAAATCAGCTATTAACATTGCTCAGTCCATCATGATAGGACCAAACATATAGAGATAGATCGACACTTTGTTAAAGAAAAAAATGGATAGTGGTCTTATCAATGATTCTTATGTCCCGTCTGGGCTTCAGTTAACATATCTCTTCACAAAAGTTCTTCCCACTGAACGATTTTATGATTTCACATGCAAGCTAGGAATGATTGATATCCATTCACTAGCTTGAAGGAGAGTGTTGAAAGTAAAATATTAAATGTACTGTTAGAAATGGTTAGAAGTTGTTAGAAGTTGTTAAGATTCTAGGGATCTCCTTGCAATTATTCCTTTAGGGTTAGGATTCTCTACATATAGATGCTGATGTACAGGTTCATATGAACTCAGAGAAAATATAATTTTTCGTTCAAATTAATTCCCTTTCAAGTGGAACTGGGCCTGTTGGGGGAAGCGACTATGGTATGAGTAATGCCCAAAGCTGGACAATAGCCCTTTCTTTTTTTATGCATATATACAAGTGTCAGCTTGTTCCAAATGGCTCTGAAGTCACGATGAATATGCACAAGCTAGGACTCAGAACCGGAAGCCTAAACTTTCTGTCTGGTCATAACTGGTAACTTTGGGATGGGTAAGAGCTCTCCCTGAAGTACTACCTGCAAGGGTGCTGGTCAACAGCTAACTGACCAGACAGACCACTAATGACACTATTGTTGCTTCAGAGTTAGAATTCATAGCAGATTCAATCCCTCTTCTCACAATTTCTGAAATTCCTCAAGGCAGTCTTGCATCTCTACTAAGATGTTACAGATTTTTTTTTTCATTTTCTTTGTACAAACTGGTAGGGATTTTATTATTATACACAAACTGGTTCAAGCCCAATTTATGACCTTAGCTAGACATTCTGGTCATAGAGTGGAAGCATGAAGTTGTCTATACCCTTAACTCTAGCAATTCATCTACGCCTTCTCTTGTTGACAGTAGTTGAGCAGGTCTATCTTAGGCATGCCTTGATGTCAGGCAGGCCCATGACTTTCAATTAAATGAAGTCAAATCTTTCTTTATAGTGAGAAGAAGTGAGAGGTGCCAAAACTACTGTCTCATACCACATGAACAACAACTGGGGAAGAGGAGATTTTACTTGAACTTTGTATCTCTTCCACTCCTTATGGGCAATAACTGACCTTGTATAGAATGGTAGTGCCAACGATTGGCTGCTTCTTCTTTAACAATAAATCAATTATGAAAAAGAAAAGATTACAAAAGAATTGATTTTTAAAGCGCCTTTTTGTTAACATATTCCTCCTCATTAAGTGGCTGGACACACCAACATGTGCCTCATTTACCTAGAGTAATGAGGCTATACATAGGTATAACAGTCACTTCTTCGCCTATTAATGAGATAACCTCAATCCAAGACTTACCTATCTCCCCTCCCCCTCTTACGATCATGTTGATTGGATTTGTCTCTTTTGAAACCTTAGCTTTTCTTCTCTAAAAATATTTTGTATTAGTGCAAGGGGGCCTTCATTCATTATGTTGTACTGGCATAAGAGGACGATCCTAGGCTTTAGATAAGCAAACAAACCTGTTCTCCCTTTCTCCAGTTGTATTAACTCACGTCTATAAGCGGGTTCAATTATCCCTGTATTAGTAAGGTGCATTGCTTTCCCGGCTCAAGTCATTCTTTGTTCTTTCTTCTTTGCATGCTTTTTCTCTTATGAAAGAACCTCAATCAAGGATATTATGAAATAGCTCAAAGGGGGAAGAAAGAACCTTTCACATAGAAACCAAAACCTGAACCCAAAACGAAGAACCCTTAACCTTACGCCCTTAACCCCAAACATAGCACCTTATATCCTGAACCTTGAAACCCAAATTCCAACCCCCAAACCTTGCCTAAACACTAAACCCAAGAATTCAGAATCCTGAACCTAAACACTTAACCCCTTTGTTTTTGTTCCTCTTTATCCAATCACTGATTCTTCTTCTTCCAATCATTCATTTTACTTTTTTGTCATCTTATTCCAATCATTTTCTTTTCTCCTTTTTCTTTTTCCTCTTCATCTGTTTGAAATGGAGGGAGTATTTTGCTTTAAAGTGAAGGTATTGGCTAAAGAAAAATATGCTGAACCTTTAAAAATGTTCATGTTTCACTGGTGTTTGTTACCAGGTTTTGGTAAATTCTAATTTGAATAAAAGTTGCCAACACTTGACGATAAAACATGATGACGATAGGGAAATATGTTCACATTGGTTGGTTGATTAGGAATCCAAAGAGAAACATTATGTCAGAAACAGGCTCGAAGAAATTGATGAGTGATGATCCTAGTCTAGGTTTGCATAAAAGATTATGAAAACTTTTGAGGAGTTTTAAGATCCCCTGCCATATTACCATATTATTCCCTAGTTTTGATTGAAAGTTTATAGTTAATTTTTTTCATGTCATTTATATAGTTATTTATGTCTGGGTTAATTTCTGTCATGAAGACGCGAAGAATCATTACCTATTTTTAAGAGGAGACTCTTGGGAGGCTTGCTGGATTTTTCTGCTAGAGAGTTGCAGGTTCAGGTACTGTTTTTTTCTATTCTTTTTCATTTTCCTTATGAAGAGTTTTGTTCATTAAATGCCATGGCTTGATGATGTTATTCATTATTGTATTCTCTTTCCTCCAGTTATTTAAGGTTTTTAAATGTGTATGCACACTTAATAAAATAATCCCTGTTATTCCTAAGAACAAATTGATATTAGATCCTACGTACAAGGATGAGTACAATTAAGTTTCTTGTTTTTGCTGAAGTGTGGAAGACAAAACATCAATAATCACTACCTACATCTTTTACTTAATACAGACTCAAATTATTGCTGCGGCTGCTGCTGGTGTTGCGGCTGGGGGTTTGTCGCCAAGGGAAGCTAAGGCTGAAGCTGATAATGCTGCCCAATTGTCCGTGGCTTTAGTAGAGAATGCCATTGTGACACTGATGCTTGTTGAAGATCATTTACGGCTACAGAGTAAACAATCCTCTTCTACACGTTCTGCAGATACTTCACCATCTCCCCTTTCTGCTGAGTATCCAGTCAATAATCTCCCAAATTCATTGTCTACTATTAAAGAATCAACAGAAGCTAGTGACTCCGGGGGAGTCCCTCAAGATGTATGCATACTGTAACCTAAGATTGCCCATGCATACATGTTGGAAATAAATATTTGTCTAGTTTTTATTTTGTTGATCCACAATATTGTTTCTGTTATTCATACAAATCCATGCCATGGTGATTTGACACAGCCATTATCTCCAAATAATTTTATAGTGTAAATCAAAATATTATTTTTCAATACCTCCGTTTTCTTCTTATCTCTGACGTCATTGCTGATTCTTCAGATTTAAGAAAATAAGCATTGACTATTTATTTTTTTCCTTTATTTTCCTTACTATTCATTTCATTTGTATTTATGGTAATTTGAATTGTGTAGTTCTCCTCATTTGCATTTACTTTTATATTGGTGAAACTCATGCTTTCATGATATTTTTAGGTCATTTCTTCAATGGCAGATGGAAGTGGTCAAATCCCTTCACCAGTGATGGAAAAAGTTGCTGCAGCTGCAGCAGCTGAGCCCTATAAATCTGTTTCTTGTGCCTTTGTGTCATATGGGTCCTGTGCTAAGGATTTAGCAGATGGCTGGAAATACAGGAGTCGTTTGTGGTATGGTGTTGACCTTTCTCCTATTCCAGGTCCGTTTGGTGGTGGTGGGAGTGGCTGGGATTATTGGAAGTCTGCTCTGGAGAAAGATGAAAATGGAAACTGGATTGAGCTTCCTTTGGTGAAAAAGTCTGTGGCAATGCTCCAAGCTTTATTGCTGGATGAGTCTGGGCTTGGTGGTGGTCTTGGTATAGGTGGAGGGTCTGGCACAGGAATGGGAGGGATGGCTGCATTGTACCAGCTACTAGACAGTGACCAGCCATTTTTGTGCATGCTTCGTATGGTTCTTCTATCAATGAGAGAAGATGATGATGGTGAAGATCGTATGCTAATGAGAAATACTAGTTTTGAGGATTCAGTATCTGAGGGAAGAAAACCACGGTCGGCACTTTTGTGGAGGTAAAACAACCTATCATATCTTAACATATATGTAGTTCGTTTTTTGATTCATAAATGATGAATTGTCATTGAACTGTTAGAACACATACTCAACACACTCATATCTATTTATCACAAAATATTTTTCCTTTTTATGGTATAATAAAAATTTAGTTTGTTAATGAGCCTCTAACTACGTAACTAACATACAACACTAACCCAATTGTCTACAATGCTCTCTTTTAGGAAGGCTGAATCGACACAAGCTTTGGTGATTGAAACCAAGTTTTTTATTTTCTTTTTTTCTCTCTGAATTTTCTTCTTGTTCCTTCTATTTGTCTCATCACCATAGGCTGTTAGCCTACACTGATTCTAGCTTTCTTATAGTGACTTGATCTTTAAGGAAGTAAAATATTGTCTCAATGTGCTAGCTCCTTCCATGTGCAATAGGATGTTTAGCTAAGCTTATAGTTGACTTGTTGTCTATTAACATCACGAAAGGCTCTTCTAATCTCCATTTTTTATGCTCCATTTGAGGTTGCAATGTGATGCCCTCTAGCTTGTGAGACATTATGCTATGTGAGAAACCCTTTCTTGTGTGGGTTTTTTACTTTTGCAAATAATGTTGGTGTGAAATTCTGCTAAATCATGGTAAGAACTTTGATCAATGGTGTGTATTCAGACAAATTCCATCTCTTTGGTTCGCAAGAAGTGTTGAATATTATAAAAAATGACGTTCAAGAAGTGGAGGAAGGTGCTACATAGACACAAAGGGAAATTTATGGGAGTCAAAGAAGAGTGTAAAACTCTCACTTTTATCCATCAATGTGGGGATTCACCCAATTTTGAGAAGATATCTTAAGCCAATTCAGCAAATGTTGCTTGCAATATTTTGAACAGGTCATATGGAGATATGGTAATAAAATCAATAAAGTGAAGCTTTCATCCCTTCACAAACAGAATGAGTTGTTTCTCATGACTAATCAAGAACCAATGATGGACTACTTAAACAAAATTCACGTGCTCATCACAGTGAGAAGTTCTTGGACCAACAAAATTCAAGCTCTTACCAGCCCAGATCGATTGGAACAAATTATGGCAGGGCAGCAATGCCAAGAAGGAAAATGGAAGAACAAAGTGAAGAATTTTAGTGAAAACTCAAGCATGTTCTCAAATCATAATTATGATGGTAGCAACCACAAGAATGGAGGTTGTAGAAAAATTGGCAAGAAGGGAGGTGATCGAAACAAAGGGGGTAGAAACCTTTGTAAGAGGAATATATAGTGTTATGCGTGCCAAAAATGGGATCACTTTCCAGATGAATGATAGAGAAATAAAGGGAAATAGGTAAAGGAGGATGAAGTTCAAATAGTAAAAGGTAATAGGGATGATTATGATTCAAATTGTGTCCTTCTCATGGTGACAACATCATACTATAATAAATTTGGTTACTGATATTTTTATGCTAGGTGTTCAAACTACATGATGGAATGAAGCGAGGTTTGTTAATCTTGATGAAAGAATCAAAAGAACCATGAAGTTTATCGATAATAGCACCCTTACAATTGAAGGGATGGGAAAAGTTCTAAGTCAAAGAAGAGATGGAAATCAGTCATTCATATCAAATGTTTCTTTTGACCCATAAATGAAGACCAATGTTGGGCTGCTATTGGAGAAAGGCTATGTCATGAATATGGAGTAGAATATGATGAAGGTTTGTGACCAGAAGATAAAATTGATTTTGAAGGTTCCATTATCAAATAACAGAACCTTTTTAATTGGAATTCAGACTGGTGATGAAAACCATTCTTTTGCAGCTATTATGGAAGATTAGAATCGGAGTCCGAGTCTACTAGAAAAGAAAAGGATGATTCATGGTTTGCCTTTTATATAGCAACCAAAGGGGTTATGTGAAAGCTGCCTAATAAGGACTAGAAATTCTTTCAAGTCCAACATTTCAGCAACAAAAGCACTTTTGGTTTTTTAGATGGGGTTTATTTCACTTAAGTGAAAAGGTATGGCGTTTCAAGTGTTTCAAAGGGTAAAGGCAATGATGGAGAAGCAAGGTGGGGGGCCATCAAAGTTCTTAGAATGGATGGGGGTGGAGAATACACATCAAATGATTTTCATTTCTATTTAGATAAGGAAGGAATAGTTCTTAAAGTTAATGCTCCATATACACCTCAACATAATGGAAAAGTTGAAAGGAGGAATAAATGAACATGGGCAATGTATGTCTAAAGGAAGGAATAGCCAAAACAGTTTAGGGAGAAGTTGTATCCAACTGAGCCTCAATGATGGGACTATCGAGGAAACATGGTTAGGAATAAAACTTGCAGTAAGTCATCTTTGATTATTTAACAAGTCATCTCCAAGTATTTGATTCTCTTTGCTTTAGAATTGTACCAGATGAAAGAATAAAGAAGTTGAATGACAAAGGGAAGCCAAGGTGTTTATTGGGTACCATTCGACAGGGCTCTAGTAGCAAAAAGGTTGTTCTGAGCAGAGATGTTGTTTTTGGAAGTAAAGGTTGGAGTTCTTCAACTTAAAGTGAAAAAGTGATTGTACCAATTTGGTGCTACTTGTTAGAACACACACTGAACATAAGATTTGAGTTATGAATCTAAAATTTTATTTCACACATATATGAATTGCAATATATTATTACAATTTATCATTTTTTGGAAACTGGATCGGACTGGCCAGTTCAACCGGTCAAACTAAGAATTAGTTTAGAAATCGGTACATTATGTTTAAATAACTAAATTTTAATTAAACTGGTACAAAACCGGAAAAACTGGTAAAACCAATTAGGTTTTTTATTCGAACCAATTTTGGTAAAAAAAATAAATAAATTTTTTTAATACAATTGGTTTTTAGAAGATATAATATTTTTCAAATTTTTTTTCTTTCCCTATCTCATTAATCACCTTATTTTTAAATAATAGTTATTTATTGTGTTTTCATCTTATTTTAACTATTATTCATTTTACAATCTCTAATGCATTTTATATTTGTAATCTTCATTGTAATTTACAGTTATTATGATAACAATCTTTATTATTTTTTCTTTAAAAAAAAAAGAATTGTTACTAATAAACTTATTATATTATAAAAATATTATTTTATTAAATTCAGTTTGATTCTAGTTGAACTTTTAAACCTTGAACTTATGTTTTTATCAGTTTAGTGACTGGTCTGATGTTAAAAACATTGCTATTTATCGTACAATAACTAACCCCATATTACGTATATCACTAACATATTACACTAACCAAATTATCTAGAGCATAAACAAATTCCACACAATTACAAAGTCCAGCTGCAACCTTCTCCCCGCCTCCCCCTTATTTTCCCTAGAGTCAATTAGTACGTATGATACACCTTTTTCTTTGCCTCCATTTGAAACACTATTCTATATTTAAAATTGTCTAATTGAATTTCACAATTTGTTTTTATTTCTTATGTGCTAGCAGATGAAATATCACCATCATAAAATGATAGTATTGAAGTGTTTATCTTGTTTTGTTGATTTATTTATTTATTTGTAATTTACACAGTGTTCTCTCACCTGTTCTCAACATGCCAATTTCTGATTCTAAGAGGCAAAGAGTTTTGGTAGCATGTTGCGTGCTTTATTCTGAGGTTTGTGTTATCTGCCTGTTTATTTTCTTCCTTACTTTGATGCGCAAAAAACTTGTCATTTGTAATTCTTGTGCACAACTATTGTAATTACCATAGTACAACATCTGTCCAGGTATACCATGCTGTTAGCAGAGATCAAAAGCCTCTTCGTAAACAGTACCTTGAAGCTATTTTACCTCCATTCGTTGGTGTATTAAGGAGGTGGCGCCCCATTTTAGCTGCCATTCATGAGCTTGCTACTGCTGATGGCTTGAATCCTCTTATTGCAGATGATCGTGCATTAGCGGCTGATTCCTTGCCAATTGAGGTACTTTGCTTCTCGTGTGTTTAAGCATATGGATGTGCACTAGGGTGATTTTAAATATATATTTGAGGTATGGTGCATATGATTGATGTTGATTAGGGTGTTAATCTAGTTGGGACTGTAATCAACAGAGTGATGCTTGTAACTTGTTTGGTATCCTGTGCAATGCATGATAGGCCATTTGCTAATTTGTCGGAGCTACTATTATCTTTTCTGTTAGGCAAGAGAGTACAGCTCAATCTGAGCCTAAGGCCCTATGAGTTTACTCTAGAAAGAAAGAGTCCATAATACTTTAGTTAGGCTTTTCTTAGCAAGTTGTTAGAAGTTAGTGAGTAGGCAGTTAGGGAAAAAGGCATATAAACAATCTTTTGAATGGAACATCAAGGAGGGAAAAAGGCATATAAACAATCTACTTGGTGTTTTCAAGATCATTCTTTTTTGAATTAAAGTAGGAGAATTTCCGTTAGTTATATTTTTTCTTTTATAATAACAGCTTTGGTTTTCTTTCTCTAAAAAGAGAGATTCCTAACGTTTTCATCATTTTCTTTAAGAAGGGGTTTATCTGTAACAAATTTAAAGCTCAGTAAGCTATAGCTTGAAGGCAAGTGTTAGAATAATATAAAAATATCTATTAATAATATATATATATATATATATATATATATATATATCATACAGTGATTTATCGGAGAATTCTTTGCTTAGGCTTTAGTTAGTGGCCTTGCCCATCATCAATAAATAGATGATTTCGATCAGTTGTAACTGAATTTTACCGAATCATTAATACAATTTTATTTCAGTTACATGATTCATTCTCTATCTGAATTGTATCAGATTTTGAGTATCTTAAACAATCTCAGACTATCTTGTTGTACTAGTATCCATATTTCATTATTTGTTTCTTTAATTATAATTATGATCTAATATTGGTTTAAATGTTGGTTATTGTGTTTATATTTTTGAAATGCATACAATAATACTAAAGGAATTATTATTCGAAGTCTTTATTCTCCAAAACTCTAATTTCATAAATGTATATAATGCATATGTTCACACACTTACGTGGTTTCTTATTCTAGCCATTCTGAAATTTTGATGGTATTTCTCTAGGCTAAATTGCAACTTTAGTCCCCCTTTAAGTTCTGATCCGCGATTTGGTTTCATTGATTTTAGTCATCTAGTGTTAGAAAATCTGCAATTTTTGTCAAATCCTTGCATATGATATTTTCTTTTCTAAAATAATTTTGTTGGTCAATAACCGGTATTTATTTCATTGAGATAAGTGATCAATAACTGGTATTTATTTCAGGCCGCCCTTGCTATGATATCTCCAGCCTGGGCTGCTGCTTTCGCATCTCCACCTGCTTCAATGGCATTGGCTATGGTTGCGGCTGGTACTTCAGGTGGTGAAAGCCATGCTCCTACAGCAACTTCCCATCTTAGGCGTGATACTTCATTGATGGAACGAAAACACACTAAACTACATACATTTTCAAGCTTTCAAAAACCTTTGGAAGCCACAAATAAAACATCACCCCTTCCAAAGGACAAAGCTGCTGCAAAAGCTGCTGCTTTGGCAGCTGCTCGTGATATCGAGAGATTTGCAAAAATTGGTTCTGGAAGAGGTCTTAGTGCTGTTGCAATGGCCACTGCTGCACAGCGAAGGAATGCTAGTGATATGGAGCGGGTTAAGAGATGGAATATTTCTGAAGCAATGGGAGTTGCCTGGACAGAATGTATGCACCCTGTTGCTACAAAGTCGGTGTATGGGAAAGACTTTAATGCCTTTTCATATAAATACATTGCCGTTCTTGTTGCCAGTTTTGCACTAGCAAGGAATATGCAACGGTCTGAGGTTTGTTTGCTAATTGTTTCTATGAAGTTCAGATTATGGAGAAACAACATGCTAAATATTTCTTGGTTGCCAGATTGACAGGCGTGCTTATGTAGATGTTATTGGTCGGCATAGAATCAGTACTGGAGTCCGTGCATGGCGCAAACTTATTCACCAGTTAATAGAAATGAAAAGTCTTTTTGGACCTTTTGCAGATCATTTATACAGTCCACCTTGTGTATGTTCTGATACTATTCTTCACATTAAACTCATATTCTTTATAGCATCTCAACCCTTTCAATTAAATTTTCTTTTTGAAATATAATGAGAAAGTGACTCTAAGGAGACATGCATTGTGTTTCTTGCTGCTTATTCCTGTGACAAAATCAGAAAATCTTACAAACAAATTTCAGCCTTTTTTTATGTGCTGCTGACATTTATATGGGAGACCTTTGGTTTTTCAAAGAATTCAATTGCTTCTTTAATACTATCCTTTACATTTTATTTTTCTCTTTTCTTTTTCTTGTTAGGCCTTAATTGGAGGATAAATTATCTGGCCTATTTACACTCTCTTTTCTAGTAGATACTTGAAATAGCAAAATGTTTGAGTTTATTCCATTATACTAATTATTTTTTAATTTTCTAGGTTTTCTGGAAGCTAGATTTAATGGAAAGCTCTTCAAGGATGAGAAGATGTTTGAGGAGGAACTATCATGGCTCTGATCATTTAGGTTCTGCAGCAAATTATGATGATTATGTTCGGGAGAAAAATGACCAGCACACTCCAATTTTGTCAGCAGAAGCAATCTCATTGGAGACAGTCAATGAAGATGATGAACAGGTGGAAATAGACAATCTGAATGCTAGGGTCAGTGATGATGATAAAGGAGACAGTCAGACTGGACTTTCTAAAACGGCTGATCTAGCTGTTGAGTCAGCTTTAGAGTCTGTTGCTACTCAACATGCAATTGACGAAGAGCTTGTCCGGAGTTCTTCAGCCATTGCACCTGGGTATGTACCTAGTGAGCTTGATGAAAGAATTATTCTGGAGTTACCATCATCAATGGTCCGACCACTAAAGGTCATACGGGGAACCTTTCAAGTAAGTTTTATGGGTCTTATTTAATATTATTTTGTTAAAGATGTATTTAGTTATACATGTGATAACCTGATGAAGTTTCTTTTATGGGATTCTAAATTTTGTGTACAATATTTATTGCATTTTAAATCCCCAAATAAAAAAAAAGAACAAGTTGTGCTTAAATAGCACTCCTGTAATATACTTACAAAATCACTCGTGACTCTTCTATCTCTTGCCCCTTTCTCTTGTTACAATCTGGCTTTATATTCTTGGCACTGCTGTCATTCTACTTCTAGATCTCCTTCTGGCATGAATTACTGGGTGGATTGGGAAATTGGGTTATGGAAGATTTGGATTTTCTGCAATTGTGGACTTGGTAGCTGAGCATTGATTTTGGGTGTTTGGACCCACAACACTGTGGAATCAACTATGGAAGTAATTAAGGACTTGCATAGTTCTAGTCTATGTTTCTATTTTTACTTTAAATTATAAAAATTTTACACTTTTCTCTGTTTTCTATTTTCAAATATTTGTAAAATAAACAGTGAAAAAAAAAATTATTGCTTCCTGTAAAAAGCCTTGAAAATAGGAACGAAGTTAAAGCAACAACCCTCTCTAGATGAGGTTGACTACATGGATCACATGATACCAGCGGACTTGGTTAAAGTTATTCACAAGGATATTTTTACCATGAGGTCACTTATCATAATTTCCTCTTATGTCTTTATTGGTGTATCCCTACCCACTTTCACATGGCTAAAAGCTATACAATATACTCTTTTGGCTTTATAAATGTCCAAACTCTGAACCACCTCTTTTTTTGTCATTTTTTCTTGATAGTGAGTGTCACACAATTTCCTCCTCATGTACAATCATCTTGTATCATGTCCTTTTTTGTGTGATCACACACCCATCTTAATGTACTCATTTCTGTTACCGTCTCTCTGAAGCCCAACATTCACTATCATAAATTGGTCTTATAGCAATATGATTAAACTCCCCATTGAGCTTGGTAGGAACTTTGTGGTCACAAATAACCCAACTTGTATTCTTTGTATCGCATCTTTATTAATTTCACATCATTTTGTAATACTGACCCAAGATAATTAAATTTAGAAACTTGTGGCATCACATCTCCAATTTTATCCTAGAAGCCATTTTCCTCTTGTTTCATGCTAAAATTGCAATGTTTATTCTAGTGTAACTTCTGCTCATGCAAAAATCCATCGGTTCCAGTGTTTGTCACCTTTCATTTTAAAGAAAGGTAAGTATGCAAAAGCATCACTAAAGAAAACAGTATATGGAATCTGAAAATTAAGAGAAGTTGTGGGAAGTCTATTAATCAAATAGACATAAATGGTAAAGTTTATGCATGAATTATGAAAATGAGACCAAGATCAACAATATGTTTGAGTTTTCTTTCAATGACACCATTTAATGGGTATGAAAACAAATAATCATGTGCTAAATTCACACTTCTGCAAGAAACCTGGACAAGGATATGAACTTACCACCCCAATCAGTTTGAACACACTTTAATGATGATTGAAATTGAAGTTCAATCTTGGTTTTAAATTGTTGAAAAACATTAAAGAGAGTAGACTTCCTTCTGAGAAGGTATATGCATGTAAATCTAGAAAAAAGCATCAACAAAAGTTACATTAGATGAAAAACCATTAGTTGATAACACATGAGAAGGACCCCATAGATCACCATTAAGGATGAAGGAATTTTATGAGCTTTCCCAATACATTGCTGAAAAATGAGTTCCATAACATGAGCATTAGGATGCCCTAGTGTAGCATGTTAAACAGATTGAATGCTAGAGTTATTATTAGTATTGGTTACACAAAATTAATAGGTAGGAAGATTTAGCACGTGAGGCAAAGATGGAAGGAGAAGCTTGAAGATGCAGATTAGGAAAAACAAAGAAACCATCACAACCAACATAAGCAACACCTCATTAGTTACTTGAAATTTAACAGAACAGTGTGTAGCATGGAATTCAAAGTAAAAAAATTATCCCTAGGAAATTTACTAAGAGTAATTAGATTTTTAGTAATAGTGGGAACATGAAGTAAATCATGAACTAAAGAAATATTAGGATTATTAGGAGCAAGGGGATTGAATTGGAAAACCTTGGCAATTACCATTGTAAATTTATTCGGGACCTTCATAGGGAATATTTTGTTAGAATCGCGCAGCGGAATGTTCGCGTGGTCGGACAAAAACCAAGAGGGGGGGGTGAATTGGTTACTTAATAAAAATTAGGTTTTCAAAATTTTCCCCAAATTTTACCGATTAAAAACTGCGTAAATGTAAATAGAGAAGAGTAGAGAAGATTACACAATAGGTTTATACCTGGTTCTGATCAAAAGACCCTACGTCCAGCTTGCTAATCACTCAAAAGAGGATTAACGCTCGTCACTAAGAACAAAGTTGTTACAACACAAATTATAATGAAAAAGATAAAGTTAAAGATAAAACCTCTCTTGAAATCCACAAGAGATGATAAACAGACTTTCCCTCGGAGACGGACACAGCACACAATCCACTAAGAACTCCACTTAGTGATTCTTATCGCTTCTAGCCTCACACCAAGTTTCCAAAAGCCCCGAAGAACAGCTTTCCCTGGAGACTGCACAGAGACTCAATCCACTAAGAACTCCACTTAGTGATTCTTATCGCTTCTAGCCTCACACCGAGTTTCCAAAAGCCCCCTTTCCTTGCAACAAACAGTTCTCTGGCACTCACAGCACTTAACTTTTGTATGGAAAGAGTTGTTCTTTAGTTGTTCATTGTTTCTGAGTGCTAAAGCAGAGTTTAAGTAGGGAAATTAGGGTTTAGGAATTGAGGATTTCGAAACTAGGGTTCTTGGTAATTGGGTTTTCGAAAATAGGGTTAATTTGAAATTTAATTTGAAAAACGATCTAAGATAATCGATTAAAACAGAAATACTCGAATAATCGATTATTTGGTGAAATAATCGATATCTACATACAAACAATCGATTCTTTGCGTTAATCGACTAAAATGAGTTTGTATGAAGTGTTTCACGCTTTAATCGATTATTTACCTATATAATCGATTAAACCGCGATGATAAATTTGAGCTTTTGAATCTAGTTACGTACTATGTACCTGCTTATCTTAGACTCTAAAAATACAGACTCAATCTTAAATAAATCAGAGTTATTACAATACAATTATCACCAATCTTCAATCTTCAATATTCTAAGTCTTTAGTTCTTGGATCATCATCAAAATCCATTCTTCATATTCATCAAGTGCAACATCAAGTCCTTGAATTGTCAACAATCTCCCCCTTTTTGATGATGATCAAAATTTTCTTTTAAAGCCCTTTGTAATAACCTGTTTTATCTGTCATACTAACAAACACATTAAACATACCAGATAAAATTTAAAATTGAATCATAGGCTTTAAATTTTTCTCCCCCTATTTTGATTATAATCAAAAAGAACTCTGCAACATCAATCATAAGAGCTCCCCCTCAAAATATGCATAAGTTAGAGAAAGCTCCCCCTCAATCATAGCATAAAAGAAACATCAAATTTTATTTCATAATCATTTATCCATTACAATAGCAAGACAATAACAAAAGAAAATACATAACAGAATTTAAAATTCTTCAACTCGTCCTCATCATTAAAGTGAGTATCAAATCTATTTTCTAATCTACCCACTCTATCATCTACATCGGATATGCGACGAATAATTTCATCATGGCGTACTCCAGAAAGATTGAAGAAAGATTGCATTCTTTGATTCATGTCTGAAAGCATATCTTCCATGGATTGTCTTGTTTCTTGATGAGACGAGGATGTTCCAACACTTTGGATTTGGTTAGAGGGAAAATTATCACTGGAGGCATATCTTCATCGGAGTCTTCATTTGCATCACTTTGATTTTGAACGTCATCTTTGTGAACATAGATGTCATTGACACGCACCATTTGAAGTTGAGTCAATGTGCCGTCCAACATGCGGTTTAAGTTGTTTGTTCTAACTCGCTTGCTCACCTTCAACATTCACTCCTTTATATTCAAGAATACGGGATACAAGAAGTGCATATGGAATTTTGAAGGTGTGATGACGTTTTGCTTTAAGCATGGTCATTTTGACAAGAACACCCCAATCTAAAGGTTCATTATTCATTATGGCATGAATAATTCGAAGATCAATGGAAGAGCATTGGGCATGATTCGTAGCCCGGGACATAAGATCCATACAAGTAAATGTAGAAGCATGCGTTCTTCCTTCTTTAAAGGTCCAAGCATGAAGAATACGTCCAACCTCCAGAGAAGGATTCCGCGAAAAGATCGATAAGCTAAGAACCCGTCAAAGTCATCTAGCTCACCATAAACGTTAATAGCATCTTCTCTAATGGGGAAGTGAGCAACATTTTCCCAAATATCATCATCTAGAATTATGGTAACCCCTTTTACACGGGATGTAGCAATTTGATCCCTAAACTTGAATCTAGAATAGAATACCCTAACTAAGTCGGGATAGTATGTACCTTGCATTTGGATAAACGGGAGAATTCCTTGAATTTCAAGAAGATTAGGAAAATTGAAACCCCTACGAATGAATTGCTCACCTATAAGAAATTTGGGAGAAATAATAGCTTTTTCTTTCCAGTAGGTTAGAAATTCTTGTTGACCATCTCGCATCGGAGATCCATCCTTCTACGTAATTAGGACGGGAATGAGAAGAAGGTGCAGATCTTCTTCTTGTAGGAATCTTAGGGCGAGAGGATGAGGCCATTTGAAAGAGTAGATAAACTTGAAGAGATTTTGGAGACAAGTGAGGGAATAATGAAGCAAAGAGAGTATAGATTTCAAGAAAACTTGATTACAAGAGTTAGAAGTGAGTATAATTGACCTAGATGTCTCTATTTATAGAGAAAACACTTCCAACGGTCATATAGAAAGGATTTCATGGCAAAATATCCGTTGGCAACGGCTAAGAGGCAAAATTGGTCGCATTTAATCGATTATATTTCAAGATAATCGATTATTTCAATATCTCGATAGCTTTAATCGATTATTTCCAAGTAAATAATCGATTATTCCAGAGGAGAATACCCCGTTTTGGGCGTTTTTAAGGGAAAATAATCGATTATCACTTCCAGTAATCGATTATTCCAGAGGCTATATCAAGTTTTTAAGGTTTTGGCACATTATAACCTATGAATATCCCGCATCACGAATTTAATCATAACAATCATCCAAAAACAGTCAAATTAAGCGAGAATTTAAGCTATTTCTAGTATCCCTAAGTCTCTTCTAAGATCATAGAATCTATCCTTGGGTAGAGGCTTAGTAAATATATCCGCTAATTGACGTTTAGTGTCTACATACTCTATCTTACAGTTTCCTTTCTTGATATGATCTCTTAAAAAGTGATGTCTAATCTCAATATGTTTAGTCCTAGAGTGCATTACTCGGATTTTTTGTTAAGTTGATTGCACTCGTATTATCACACATTAATGGAATGTCATTTAAATATATGCTATAATCCTCTAATTGTTGTTTCATCCACGTAATTTGAGCACAACAACTACCAGCTGCAATATATTCAGCTTCAGTGGTAGATAAAGCTACACATGCTTGTTTCTTAGAGTGCCATGATATTAAGGATGAACCTAACAAATGACATGTCCCACTAGTGCTTTTCCTATCAATTTTACATCCACCATAATCGAGCATCAGAATATCCTAATGAACTAATACAAGCATCGACTGGATACCACAAGCCAAATCCAAGTAGTTCCTTTTAAGTATTTTAAAATATGTTTTACCTGCAATTAAATGAGATTCTTTAGGACAAGCCCGAAATCTAGCACACACACAAACGTAATGCATAATATCGGGTCTACTAGCAGTTAAGTATAATAGTGATCCTATCATACCTCTATACATAGTTTGATTTACTTCCAAACCTGATTCATCCTTGTCTAAATAGCATGAAGTTCCCATGGGTGTGTTAGCTTCCTTAGAGGTGTCCATACCAAACTTTTTGAGAATTTCCTTGCAGTATTTAGTTTGAGAGATGAAAGTGCCATCTTTAAGTTGCTTGATTTGTAGTCCAAGGAAGAATGTCAATTCTCCCATCATAGACATTTCAAACTCTCCCTGCATTATCTTAGCAAATTCTCAACATCCGAAGAATTGTTGTTATTTGCCATCAAGCAAATGTTTGCTTCAATTTCTGAGTCGCTTGATTCTGAATTTGAATCACTGTCATCCCAAGCAATATATGCTTTCTTCTTGAATTGCTTTTTGCCCTTATGTTCATCATTTTTCTTGTTTGGGCATTCGGTCTTCATATGCCCTGCTTCACCACAACCAAAGCATTTTATATTAACGGAAGAATTTTCTTTTACCTTTCCCTTACCTTTGAAAGGATGTCTTCCTTTTGCTTTCATCATCTTGGTGAACTTCTTTATAAAAAGACTCATCTCTTCTTCATCATTTTCGGAGTCTTCTTCTTCTTCTTTCTTATTTTTGCTTTTTGAAATCTCGGTTTTGAAAGCAAGGTTCTTCTTTTGATATTGACCCTCTTCCTCATTTAGTCTTCCAAGGTCAAGTTCATGCTCCCTAAGCTTTCCAAACAACGCCGCCATAGACATAGTGGCAAGATTTTGTGACTCCGAGATGGCCGTCACCTTTGGTTGCCATTTCCTATCCGAGAGATTTCAAAATTTTAACATTTAATTCATCAACGTCAAAAATTTTACCTAGTCCGGTGAGATGGTTCACGATATGAGTGAAACGTTTTTGTACGTCAAATATCGTTTCGCCTGGTTGCATCCGAACATTTCGTACTCTTGAATTAGAGAATTTTTACGTGCTCTTTTGACGTCGTCGGTTCCTTCGTGGGTCACCCTTAGCATTTCCCACATTTCCCGTGCACTTTTACAAACCGAAATTCTATAAAACTCATCAAGGGTTAGAGCGAGATGAAATAATGTTTCTAGCCCTAACATCAAATTGAGCTTTTCGACTTTCGTCTGCAGTCCATCTATCAAAAGGTTTAAGAACGTCAACACCGTTCTCGTAATTTTAGGAACAAATGGACCGTTTAAAATTGCGTCCCAAACACCTCTATCAACGGACTCTAAAAATATTTGCATACGTACTTTCCAAAAAGGATAATTTTGACCCGCAAAAAGTGGGGGTCTGTTGATAGACGCACCTTCGGCAAAAGTTTGATTTTGTCCGGCCATTTTCGAAAAGTTTGAATGACTATCAAAGCAAGCTCGATACCACTTGTTAGAATCGCGCAGCAGAATGTTCGCGTGGTCGGACAAAAACCAAGAGGGGGTGAATTGGTTACTTAATAAAAATTAGGTTTTCAAAATTTTCCCCAAATTTTACCGATTAAAAACTCGCGTAAATGTAAATAGAGAAGAGTAGAGAAGATTACACAATAGGTTTATACTTGGTTCGGATCAAAAGACCCTACGTCCAGTTGCTAATCACTCAAAAGAGGATTAACGCTGTCACTAAGAACAAAGTTGTTACAACACAAATTATAATGAAAAAGATAAAGTTAAAGATAAAACCTCTCTTGAAATCCACAAGAGATGATAAACAAGCTTTCCCGGAGACGGCACAACACACAATCCACTAAGAACTCCACTTAGTGATTCTTATCGCTTCTAGCCTCACACCAAGTTTCCAAAAGCCCCGAAGAACAGACTTTCCCGGAGACGGCACAGCACTCAATCCACTAAGAACTCCACTTAGTGATTCTTATCGCTTCTAGCCTCACACCGAGTTTCCAAAAGCCCCCTTTCCTTGCAACAAACAGTTCTCTGGCACTCACAGCACTTAACTTTTGTATGGAAAGAGTTGTTCTTTAGTTGTTCATAGTTTCTGAGTGCTAAAGCAGAGTTTAAGTAGGGAAATTAGGGTTTAGGAATTGAGGATTTCGAAACTAGGGTTCTTGGTAATTGGGTTTTCGAAAATAGGGTTAATTTGAAATTTAATTTGAAAAACAGATCGAAATAATCGATTATTTGGAGTAATAATCGATTAAAACAGAGCCAAATACTTCGAACCCAACCCTCTTCGGAATAATCGATTATTTGGTGAAATAATCGATTATCCGTACGACAGGTACAAAACAATCGATTCTTTTGTTGTTTTAATCGATTAAAACAGGTGAGTTTGTATAGAAAGTGTTTTCTCATCGTTTTAATCGATTATTTACCTATATAATCGATTAAACCCGAGCTCGAATGATAAATTTGAGCTTTTTGAAGCTTCTAAGTTACGAACTATGTACCGGCTATCTTAGACTCTAAAAATACAGACTCAATCTTAAATAAATCAGAGTTATTACAATACAATTATCACCAATCTTCAATCTTCAATATTCTAAGTCTTTAGTTCTTGGATCATCATCAAAATCCATTCTTCATATTCATCAAGTGCAACATCAAGTCCTTGAATTGTCAACATATTTTGGTGAATATTCTGAGTATCTCCAGTAACATGGAAGGTAGCACAGTAATTAGGGAACCAATTGGAATTAGAATGTTGAACACTGTGTGTAAGCAGCAAATTTGCTCCAGGGTTGGTTAACAAAGCAATGGGGGATATTGTGATTGCTATGAAGAATAACGATAGTTGCCTTTCCTGGAGAGTAGAGAAAAAGAGGAGCAAATTGTTGTTGTTGTACACCTGTCATAAAAACAGAATAACTAAAGGCTTAACAACTAATAGAAAGATACGCTACTCACAAAGTTATATGTCAAATAAGTCTTTTAATTAGTTTTTTAAACATTATTTTAGCTCAAATACATTAGCAGATTTTCTTCCCCTAAAAATTTTAGGATTGTTTTTTTAAAGCAGAATAAAAAAGTAGGTTTCATCTGAAAAGTAGGATTCAAAAATTAATTTTAAAAAATAATTTTGAAAAACCAAATAAAAAAGACACAGTCAAATACACCCTTAATTTTCTAACCCTAATGTGCCCAGTACTTGAAACAAGGATTTAAAAAAAAAAAAAAACTACAACAAAGGATATTAGTATTTAATTCCATAATATAAGATCCTGAATTGTTCCTAAAAGTGAGATGACTTTACAACCATTTGTATTTTGTTTCGCATCACATCATATTAATTTCATATTTTGTTATTTTCAGTCAATATTCTCTAATTTCCACCTTCCCTACCTAAACTCTTTAATTTCAGCTGCTTTCTTGTCTAAGGTAGGTAATAGCACTCATGTAAAGCATTATTCTCTTATTGTAGGTAACCAATAGGAGGATAAATTTTATAGTTGATAACAGAGAGACCGGCACCATAATGGATGATTCCAATTCTAATGTTGAGGAAGGAAAACAAGAAAAAGATCGCAGCTGGCTCATGTCATCACTTCATCAAATTTATAGTCGGAGGTGAGCTCATTTTGTAGACCTTATTATTATCTATTAATTCTGTTGTGTTTTAGTATTTTTCCATTTCAAAGTATGGTGTGTTATGATTTTGTTAATTAAGATAATATTGGTCTGGTTAATTAGAAGGTTGGTCAGTGAAGTACATAAATAGAGGTCTTGCAAAGTGATTTAGATCTAGTTAAACCCTACAAAACTAGCTTGTTATGTGAGAGATTACACCACTTATATATTGTATTTTTTACACTATCTCTAGTTGATGTCACCTGGGTTATTTTCCAATACAACCCCTCACAACCAACACTATTCGGGTTAGAACATAAATAATATAGTGAGTTTCCTTTTTAATGGATTTAGAATAGATTTTAATACCATCTTTCAAAGTGGTTTAGGACTAAGTCAACCCTATTCAACCAATTTGTAAGATAAGGCCATTTTATATAGTTTTTTGGCACTATCTCTTGTCAAAATGAGGCTTGGATTTTTTTCCAATTAGAGTAATGTGGGGTTAGGGGATTCATTGAGTCTGTTTCATTTGAGAATTGAGTTTTTCTCTTTGTGAAAGGAAAAATCCTTTAAGGAAAAACCTTGGAGTAGGGATCTCTTATTTTGTGTTTGAGTATTGAACGCACACCTGGGAATTACACACTTGGTTAAATGCACATGATTAAATTTATCTCACAAGTTGTTAAAAGTAATTGAATGTGATCATATACAGTTATTGATTATTGATATTTGCTTAATATACTTGAAAGATTTGAAGAAAATCAGTGAGTTCAAGTTACCCTGCTGATGCATATATTTTATATAAACGTCTGAGAATGAAAAAGCAACAAATCAGTGAAAAACAGATATAAAAGCTGTCACAACAGATAATAAACAGCTATCTTAATAAATATTAACCACTAGACATTTCATTAACTTTATGACATTATTAACCATATATTTATTAATAATTGTATGAAATCATGTTCATTTTCTCTTAACCACTTGTGAGACAAAGTTAACAATATTTAAATGTAGTTAATCACATGTGATGGTAATAATATTATGAATCTATTAACCACTTGATAAACAATGTTAACTACCATTAGACATTTCAATTCACAACTTGTAATTCCGGCTTGGTGTAATAGTACTATTCTTCCTTATGAGTTTCATAATAGTTGGCTCAATTACTTTGTAACTAGTAGCAATATATGTATTCATTTTTCTCATATTTTTAGAGGGGATAATAATGTACTGATAAATTTGTTAACTTTGGCACTAGGTCTCATATTTATACATGGTGGTACCCTAAGTTTTTCAGGGATCGATTTGATTTACCTTTCTATAGGATTAAGTGTCATCCCCCCACTTTATATTATATTTTCTCTTTTTTATATGATATTCTAAGGTGCTGCATATAGTTTGTGGTGCCAACTTAGTTGGGATGACTAACAAAATAGTGATTTTTAGCACTCTCATTTTTATTAAAAAATTAACCTCATGATACTATTAAGCTCATATTAATAATTGTATATGGTGAGTTTACTTACTCTTAACCATTTGTGAGACAGTTAACCATATTTACATATGTAGTTGACCATGTGCCAGGGTAGACACCAGGTGTTGGTTCCTTTATTTGTTTTTTCATTAAATTAAATAAAAATCTTTCTTTTTGTTCCCATTTCTATTGTAAATTCCTAAGAAATGTTGAATGTGCACTGAGCCGGTGATGTAATTAATATTTGTCTAAAGACCTATGGGAAATATCCTTGATTAATTCAAGTTTCCTCCACAGTTGTTAGTAACTTATTATTGTGTATTTTAGTTTTTGTTTTAAGAATTGATTACGTATATCTCTTGAGACTTGAAGCAATGTGTTCTGTTTTTGCTTATTGACATGAAGTTTTCTCATAGTTTTTATCGTTCATTTTAGTGGTTTACAAATTTTAGATCTTGTTACAGATACCTCCTTAGAAGAAGTGCTCTGGAGTTATTTATGGTGGACCGTTCGAACTTCTTCATTGATTTCGGGGTATTTCTTCTTAAACATACCAATTTATTCCCATTAATTCTTCAAAAGAAAAGGATTTTTACTTTAAATTTGGGGAGTGTACTTACAAGGATAAGTTACAGTTATTGGGAATGTGATTAATTTCACACACATACATGACAAACTATGAAGCTATTATAATCTCAAGTCTCAACCATTAATTTTCTTTTCAATGGTTATAGCTATTCTTTATCCTCTAAAGTACAGCCTAATTTTAGAGGAGCTAAATCCTATGAAAAAATCATTTCGTTTTTTGAGGTTATCTTAACACTGATATAATTCATAACATTCTACATATGAATGGATGTACACTTGTAATCCTTGTCTAAGACTCTCTTAAAAGCTTAAGCTCTTATATGGAAGTTCAAGAATAGTTTTATTTCTCTAACATGACCCTTCTTGCAAGAGCCTATTGATCTTGAACTGTGGACAATGCACTGGTTCATTGAACCTTAACACTGAAATTTGATTTAATTTTGGAGAATGGAGGTGAAAAGTATTGGACAATTGACCATTTAGTCTTCAAGGCTTTCGTACCGTATTAATGATCAGCTCTTCTAAATGCCTAAGTAATGGTTTCGTATGCCTAACATTTTCCTTTCTTCTTCCCACTTCAGAATGGTGAAGGGCGCAGAAATGCATATAGGGCAATTGTTCAAGCACGACCTCCGCATTTAAACAATATATATTTGGCTACTCAGGTAATATTCTTTCTATGATTTTGTCTAAATTTTTCTGCATCTGGGCTATATGAATAAATGTGAATGTAATATATACAACTTATGCTGATACTGCAATTTTACATCTGTGATATTATTTTATTTTGAGTATGGCTTTTGGGTTTCACATGGTTCAAGAATCTAAAGAAAGTTCCTTCTTGTTATAGAGGCCTGAACAACTTTTGAAGAGAATTCAACTCATGGAACGCTGGACTAGGTGGGAGGTAAGGGCCTTATTTCATCAAGAAAAAGTAATTTGTATTATAATTGGATGTTCATTGCAGGTAACATGAGTTTTGTATTTCCTTTGTGCAGATCAGTAATTTTGAATATCTAATGCAACTCAATACACTGGCTGGGCGCAGTTATAATGATATTACCCAGGTTAAGCCCCCCCCCCTTTTTTAATTTTTTTTAATTTACTTTGTTTCATTAATCTATTTAATCTTATTTTCCTGATTTTCATCATTACCAATATTTGGCAGTATCCTGTTTTTCCCTGGATTCTTTCTGATTACAGTTCAGAGAGCTTGGATCTTTCTAATCCCTCTTCTTATCGAGACCTTTCAAAGGTGTTATGTACTGAATATTTCTTAAAAGCTAAACTAAAAGCATTTATAATTTTGTTTTCATAGTTAAACTTTATGTCATGCAGCCTGTTGGTGCTCTCAACCCTGATCGACTGAATAGATTTCAAGAGAGATATACTAGCTTTGATGATCCAGTCATCCCCAAATTCCATTACGGATCACACTACTCAAGTGCCGGAACAGTTTGTCCCCCTTTTTTCTATATATTTCTAGTATCTTTATTGATCAAAATAGTTCGTTAGAATTGCTGATATGCTCTTTTAGTATCTTCAATTATGTTTGGGTCCTAGGCTTATTCGCTTCATCAGAATCTCACTTACCAAATTAGTTCAATGCAGATAGTTTTATCAAAATGTGGCTTTTTTTAATTGGTTAACTGAAGGCAGATCTATTTTTATGTTTGATTGTATTATATTTTATTGTGTTTAAACATTGTATGTCCAGATGATGCCAGCATAATTCCTGCAGCATGCTGACATAATTGCAGAGGAATTATTCAGACATTATGAATCTACCCTAAATTGGGATTGGCTGCCTTAGCACCTATGATTTCAAAAGCCAATTTCACACACTATTATATTAGTGGCCTTTTGGTAAATTCACATTCAGATAAGTTAAATCAATTGTTTGGCTTCTCTCATTCTGTACATAAAAGTAGGAGAGTGGATGACTTAAGTTTTTATCAATATTAGTTGGCTATCTGTTCTCTGAGAAATTAGTGTAGATGGGTTGGAGTGTTTCTTTAGGTTTTGGCAATAACGGAAGCAATTCATTGGAATTGGAAGCTGTGTAGATTCATTGAAGAGTAGATTCTGGCTTTTAGGGAACAGGAAGATCTGAGTGAATCAATTAGGGGGAGAACCAAACTCGTAAATAGCAAGTCCCTATCACAATGAATTTTTAATGTTGGTTTCCTAATATTGCATGTCATGTAAGGCTTGAATTATATATTATACTAAAATGAGAAGAATCTCCATATCTATGATTTCTTTGGCATCACCTCATCTTGCTTTTGATTGCATTGTTCAACCAAATTGGAAGCATTTTGCTAAAAAGATATTCAAAAAAATGTTCCTTAGAAAAACTTCATTTTAATCATCATCTCAGCAACAACATAGCCATATCCCAAATACTTTTTTATTCCATTGATGCTTATAAAATTTATCTATGAAGAAAAGAGCATCGCATCACATCCTTTTAAATAGAGTTCTTATTTTCTAGGGAAGATGAACCGATTCTACATAGAATTAGGCTTGTTTGATTTAATTTTGTTTCTTAGTTTTTGAAAACAGTTATAGAGATCATTTTTAAAAAAACTGTTTTTGAAAATATGTTAGAAAAAAACTTGTTCGGTAACTCTATTTTTGAAATGTATTTTAGAGGTATTAGAAATGGAGGGGTGTCTAACTCAATCATACAAAATTGGTTTTGTAAGATGACGTTTGCACCTTAATTATATATTGTAAGTTGGTTATATCTCTAGTCAATGTGAGATATTCAACATAGTCCCTCATGTTGAGGAATGAACATCTCGAGAGTATGGAATTGAATATTAAGGGTGATTCGGCTCGATAACGGGTGGAGTAATAGGTCAACAAATTTTTAATATCATATCTATAGTCAATATGGAATCTCCAACAAAAGAAAAATGAATAACAGATGACCATGAAAAGTCATAACGAAATTTAAAAAATAATTTTGATAACGAAAATGAGTGATTTAATGTAATTATCGGTGATAAGATTGATATCCATTTATGAAAATAGAAAACATTTTTTAGCAATTTTGGTTTTTTAGTTTTTAAAAACTAAAAAACAAAAGAGTTTTCAAAAATTAAAAAACTGTGAAGAGTTTTTAAAAACAGTAAACAATTAAGTCCTAAGGTTTTCTAATAATATTTCAGCTAGGATTGCATAACATCTACTCTATTAAAATCGAAGTACTTGTGCAGAAGTTGAATTACAATTTACGGAAGTTAATAATCAAAGATAGTGTGGAACTGGTAAGTTCTGAGTGAAAGAATCTTATCTTCAAGCATGTGTTTTCTTGATATTTTGCTTTCAGCTTCATTTTTTCTTTAGCCTTCTGAATTTAAGCCTCCTTTTTTGTGTGTATTTTAATCACTCGTCTGATGCCTGACTACCCTTTTGTTTCACAATAGAACAGTAATAGAAGTAATTTCTAAGTATGTAAATTTTGTTGTCTTGCATGGATCTTATAGTTGCTGATTTTGGAGTAACTAATGTTTTCTATCTTCTTTTACAGGTTTTGTATTATCTTGTTAGGGTTGAACCGTTCACTACTCTTGCAATCCAACTGCAAGGTGGAAAATTTGACCATGCAGATAGGATGTTTTCTGATATATCTGCTACTTGGAATGGAGTTCTTGAGGACATGAGTGATGTAAAGGAATTGGTATGTACATAATCTAAAACATGATTGATTCATATATATTTGAAAAGTACCATATGGATTAGTGATAGTGCCAAAATACGGTATATAAATGGAGGCAATCATTACCTTATAAGCCAGTTCTTTAGGATTGAGTTAAACTTAAATTCATATACTATGAATATGCTTATATACATTAAGAGGCTTTTTCTAGGGTGTCTTAGGCGAATGCTTTTATTACTATTGGATGTTTATTATGGTTTTATTGAATCTGTTATCATAAACAATTTTTATTCCACTTTTTAGGTTCCTGAGCTGTTTTACCAACCTGAGGTCCTCACAAATGAAAATTCAATTGATTTTGGCACAACACAAACGGGAGGAATGCTTGGTATTTTCATTGATATTTTCTGCTTTAGTTTTTATTTTTTTGTGTATGTGAAAATGCCATTCCTGATATCATGGTTAATAGCTTACTTCTGCCTTACCAGATACTGTAAAGCTTCCTGCTTGGGCTGAAAATCCAGTTGATTTTATTCATAAGCATCGGAAGGCTCTAGAGAGCGAGTATGTATCTGCTCATTTGCATGAGTGGATTGACCTCATATTTGGGTAGGTTTCTAACTATGTTTTAATTTCACCCCAATGTTTGATGCTTTACCTGCTACTTGTTTTCTTTTTTTTTTTTTTTTTTTTTCTCTTTCCATTTTCATTAGTGAGGTAATCCATTGTATCTATAACTGTTCTTGTTTACAATATTGAATTGATCTGCTCAGGTATAAGCAACGGGGTAAGGAAGCTGTTACAGCAAATAACGTTTTCTTTTACACTACATATGAAGGGACAGTGGATCTTGATAAAATCTCTGACCCAGTATGTTTCCTTCCCATCTCCATATTTTCAACTCAAGTATTTTTTCTAGTAAAATACAATTCCTAAAGTTGCATAGTATGCAAATATGGTAATTATACATAACACAATATTATGTAATTATAGTAATTAGGGCATCTGTAAAATTCTTGTACTTAATACTTTTAGTATGAATAATATTCTCAGTTGTGTAGCTGAGACAAATGAATTTTACTTTGTCTATGTTTTATCTCTTACTCAACAAGGTATTTAGTGCTTGATGAGGATGAGGATTAATCCTAAGCCATTGAAAATGACGAGCCAATTGCCCACTAGTGTTAGACTTTCAGTGTGAGAGAGCAAAAAAATAATTATTTGAGTTGATTACAATTTTTGGCTCATTACACTAGCTAACTTAACTGTCACCGTATCATCTTACTGAATACCTTACTGGTAGTGAATGGAAGGTTCTATACTCTTTAGAGCAGTACATGGTCCGTACTCTAACAACTAGTGGCAATTCTTTTGTTGGGAAACCATGACCCATCGACAACTTTCATTAAAACTGTCATTGCTCCTCCAGATTTGTGGTTTCTAGTAAACATTTTCAGTTGATGACCACCCATTGGTCCTTGGCTCCTCCAGAAACCCCCGCCCCAATCCACTCTGTTATTATGACAGACTCATGCACCAAACAGTCTCTCTTTGTGTATTCAGTATGTGTGACAATGCGATAGTGTTCTTTCCAACCGTTGCATTGGGAAAATGTCCAAGTCTCACATTCATATTGACTACAGACAGTGGCTGAATGACAATCACTCCATAAGTTAGCTTTTTGGGGTTAAATTAGATCAAACCTATATTCCAAGAATTTTCATAATAATGTAATATTTTTGGAGCCTAAAATATATTTAAGCTATTAAATGTTATACACTACCAATGTCATTATGGCACTTAGGATATAAATCCTTGTATTTATTAGTTACAGTATATTATGTTTTTAATTATGTAATTGAGACACAGATTTCCATTACATCTATTGTTTCTATTCCTTAATAATGACCCTCATGCACGAGTCCTTTGAGCTTGAACCATTGACCAATGCACATACTTCCTTATCCTGTGTTAAAACACAACTTCTTATTAGAAGAATAAGAGTAGCAAGTAGGGACGGCAAAATGGAAGAATAAGATCAATTTTAATTTCGATTATAATTGATCGAATAAAAATTATCTATTGATCTATTTTTATCATATTTATTTAAAAAACTTGATCCTAAACTATTTGACAAAATTCCATCTAGTAATAATTTTTCATAGATGGATATCTAGTCCATCCGCAAAAATATACTACTTCAGGTTCTATGTATAACAAACTAGAAAGTAATTATGAAGATAAACAAAAATAGTTGAATTAGTTAGTTTTAATGAAAAATGTCACTAATTTATATTTTATTTCAAAGATACCCATAAAATTAAATAGTTTAAGTGGTAATTATATTTAATGACACTACTAATAATTCAATGAATATTTTTTTTAACCAATAAGAATAAATATATCGTATATAGATGGATTGAATGAATTTACTTGTGGATGAACTGAATGGATGGTAGATAAATAGATTGTTTGCCATCATCGAACTCTAGACCATTTGACCATAAGCTATGCCCAAAACTATTATGTCTTGAACTAACTAGGCCCAAAGCTATTATGTGAAGATACCTGAATAGTTTTGCAGTTTTATATTGCATCCATAAAATTATGCATTATAATTTATAAATTGTGATAATTATGCTAACCATCCCTGAGGTTAGCAACATCCCCTTTTTGTGGGTAGGTTAGCTGTACTTCTAGGCCATGCTTGATTCAACAACTATACCTAAATCCCTTCTCTTATGTGTGATTCTTATTCATTGACACCTCTATTCTTTTTAAAGAATTGCATATACTTCCCCTTTATTTTATGCACAAACCAAACACATAATCCCTAACAATACAAGGGATGCAAGGAAGTTCGCTGTAATTTCTGAAACAAGTTTTTAGTATAATTACTACTTATCTCGGGGGAAGACCATGTAATGTAATTGACCCTTAAATTTACCTGTTGCAAGATACTTGTAGGAAACCACTTTTGTTGCATCATACTAACTAAAACATAATTTATTCTTGTTTATGTAGCTTAATATTTTCTTTTATTCATGACAAGTAAAGGTACAACAGCGTGCTATACAAGATCAGATTGCTTATTTTGGACAAACACCGTCCCAACTTCTGACTGTTCCTCACTTGAAGAAAATGCCATTAGCAGAAGTTCTGCACTTGCAGGTAACTGATGTTCATTGGTCAGGCAGTTTTTATTGAGCATTATAACTGTACTGAGCATCAAAAAAGTAAAACCCCTTGTTTAGTTTCTTATCCTTCTGATTTATTTAATGGACAAATATCTCCCAAGATTGAACACTTTAATTTATAACACGAGTGGTTTAAAACTAGAGACATCGTAGATTCATTGGCCAACCAATGCTTTTTCTGTTGGTGTGTATTGTTATTGGTGCATCCTCAATGTACAATTACAGTTTGGTGAATTTGTTTGGAACGATGATGCATTTGATTGTAATGCAGCAAATAGTTTGAAAGTGTTTCAATGGCACAACTCTTGGTTTGGATAAGATTAAGCATTTGGTTTTTGTTTCATGAAAGTTCACAGCCTTTTTAATGGAATCTAGCTAGCAAATATGCTAAGGGATTGAATAGCTTCTATTCATTTTCTCTTTAACATAGTGGTTTTCATTTTATAGTTGTGGCATCCTTCCTTCTCTTTGCATTTTTGTCCCTTTTACTTAGTAAGTTTCTTTTATTAAAGAGAAGAAAAGAAAGTTTAAATAACAAAAGTCGAAAACTTATTGATCAAGTTCAAAAGCTTTAACACATTGACAGGAGAGTCAGAAGGGAAAAGTGTTGTCATTGTGCTTTAAATGCTGTTGTGTGATATTTTTGGCAGGTTTCAAATTCTCACTTCTATGTTTGATTTGATTAATTGGAGTACAATGATTTTCAATGCTCTTTCATGGTATTTTTCTTGTATAACATAAAGTTGAACTTAAAACCTCAATAAATGATATTGAATCAAATCTGAAGCAATGCCAATATAAAGTTGGTATATTGCACTTTGGTATTAGCACATGAAAATTTTCCAACATCACTGTCAAATATAAATGGAAGTCATAAAAAAGAGATCTTTCTCTTCACATTAAACCCTAAACCTTAAAAGTGAGCAACATTTATGTTATTCCAATACTCTACTTTCCTCAGAAGCTGCTCTTTATTGACTATCAGCATTCAGAGCAAGGTGTGATCTCCTTTGACTACATGTTGCTTGCAATTTAGGTCAAGTAATCTTTCAGTTTCTTCTTCTTGATACTTCTTCCTTTATTGTGCATTTCATTAGATCATCTTACATAGTCAAGTAGAATTCCATTTCTGTTCTTTTCATCAGCAAATTTAACTTTTGTTGTAACTGAGAATACTTAGCTTATGATATTTCTAACTAAGCCTACTCACTAGTTTTTTTTTAGAAAATATATGCTGCCATGAAAGGTGTTGTACTACCTGATATCTAAAACATTTTTAATAAAAATATTGTTGGCATTAGATTTTTGAAAACCTGTGACTATTATTGTTGAAAGTGTTACTGTGTTCAGTCGTAGAGTATGTAAATACAATGTCATTTTGAATGTTAAGTACATGACAATGCTTATATTTATCATATCAGACAATATTCCGTAACCCAAAAGAAGTCAAACCATATGCTGTTCCATCCCCAGAACGCTGCAATCTTCCTGCATCTGCTATTCATGCATCTTCAGATACAGTTGTGGTTGTTGATATGAATGCACCGGCAGCTCATGTAGCACAACACAAGTGGCAACCCAATACACCTGATGGCCAGGGTACTCCTTTCCTCTTTCAACATAGAAAAGCTACATTAGCCTCTGCTGGTGGTACTATTATGCGCATGTTCAAAGCACCGGCTGCATCTGCTGTAGAGTGGCAATTCCCCCAAGCAGTAGCATTTGCTGTCTCAGGAATTAGAAGTCAAGCTATTGTTTCAATAACATGCAACAAAGAAGTTATTACTGGTAAATCTAGAAATGCTTAAGATTGTTTGGATATCCTACCTCTGCTTTATGAAACTAGCTCTTCTAATGGATTTATACTCATGCCTTGCAATACCTTGCATTAATTAGATAGTGCTATTTATCAATTATGAGGAATCTGTGGTAGGACTTGAATCATAAATATGAGGGAATGTTTTCATGTTATAATGTTATATTCTAATCAGTAGTTTTAAAACTGGGCCGGATTGATTGGAAACGAGTCTAGTGACTAGTCTGTGAACTCCAGGAAGCAGTCACATCTCAATACGGTCCAAAACTGAGCAGAAAGCCAGTTTGAACTGGTATTTGTCAAATTATTCCATTTTTATTTTTATTTTTTATTTTTTATTAAATCTAAAACATTTTTAAGATAAATAAAAAACACATTTAAGGATTACCCATAGGTATACATTCTTTTTCCAATGATTATTTTTTATCTTATAAAACATATAATTTAGTCATTTATATTAATATTTTTTTTTTACCTTGATATCTTATTACTTTATATTTTTTATTATTTGAATATTATATAATAAAAAATAAGTTTAATTGTTACCTGTCCTACAACAATTAGCTATGTTGAACCAATGAACCAAGAAGCAATGTTTACCAATCCAATTCTTAAAGCATTGTGTGTATTGATCAAATTTAGAATCCACACTCATTTTTTAATATCAACTATTCTGTCAAAGTTCAACTTAGAAGTCATTGGTGATAAGTGAAGGTCCAACAGATATTTAAGTTATACCCGAAGAATTATAGTAAGCATATTTTAAGTAGGGGCTTATATAAGTTGAAATTTAACATGTTACTAGAGTTTTTTTGTCTTTATTGTAATAGGAATCTTCTTAATAGTAGCTCATGTAAGTTGAAATCTGACATAAATGTCCCAAGACTGGTCCTCAAATTTTAGTTCCATATCTTTTGGCAGTCCAAATTAGCATACTCTAATCATCAATCAAATCTTGGCAATTTACAATTATAAATATAATAATAAATTATAATAGTTGTTCAGTATCAGGATATGAGTAATATCGTTTTAAATTTGATTGCTGATGTACATTGCTGACTTGAAGTGCCATATTTTCATGTGTCGGACTGTGTAGAATTACCAGAACATTTACTGAGAAATAGTTCGTCTGTTTTTTGTTTAAAATAAATTATATTTTTTTCACCCTCTTGGCTCTTACAGAGAGTTTTAGAAACATGGACTGCATTTTGTTGTAGTTGATTTTGATACCTAATATTTGGCATCTAATTTATGTAGTTTTACTTCTGATTGATTAGGTGGGCATGCTGATAGTAGTATTAGGCTAATATCCTCAGATGGAGCTAAAACGTTAGAAACAGCTTATGGGCATTGCGCTCCTGTAACTTGCCTTGGTCTTTCACCTGATAGTAACTACCTAGTGACAGGATCCCGAGACACAACAGTATTACTCTGGAGAATACATAGGGAACTTGCATCACACGCAAGTGTCCTGTCAGAACATTCCACTGGGACTGGCACATCATCTTCAACCAGTAATGGTTCATTGCACCTGTTAGAAAAAGACCAAAGACGAAGAATTGAGGGTCCTATACATGTACTTCGGGGCCACCACAGTGAGATACTTAGTTGTTGTGTTAACTCGGATCTTGGAATGGTTGTTTCTTGCTCCCATTCACCAGATGTCCTCTTGCACTCTACAAGAAGAGGGCGTTTAATTAGAAGGCTGGATGGTGTGGATGCCCATACTGTCTGCCTTTCCTCTGAAGGGGTTGTAATGACTTGGAATGAATCTCAGCATACTCTAAGTACTTTTACACTCAATGGTACACCGATTGCAAGAGCACAACTATCTTTCTTTTGCAGTATCAGTTGCATGGAAATTTCTGTTGATGGGATGAGCGCTTTGATTGGAATAAATTCCCTTGAAAATGGTAGACCCTACATCAACAGTCCAAATTCTCAATTGAACAAGTCAAGTGTCGTTGATTTTGATTCAGAGTCAGAAGAAACTTTTGAAAACACTGGAATAGATGTTCCATCACCATCTATTTGCTTCCTGGATATGCACACGCTGGAGGTACAGCATCAAAATTTCAATTTTAAATTTACATTTACCTTTTATCTCAGATGAAATTGCTTCGTTTTATTCCTCATTTTCATTCACCATAACAAAGCATTCGATCTGAAAGAGCAACTAACAAAGCAAGCTTTTATTTCTTGTCTTGTCGGGGAAATATTATAACCTGCAGATATGTATTTTCAAATAAAAAATAATTTATTTGTAATGCAACGGAGTAAATATTCTTGGACTAGCATTTTCTGTGGCTTCCCAATTCTATGCAGTTTTCTCAAGGAACGACACTGGCGTACTTTTTTTGTAGGTATTTCATGTATTGAGGCTGAAAGAAGGGCAGGATATCACAGCTCTGGCTCTCAACAAGGATAATACAAATCTTTTGGTTTCAACTTTGGATAAACAATTGATAATCTTCACGGACCCAGCTGTAAGTTAAATCTTTCTTTTGAAATATAAATAGAGTCCTTGAAGTGGAGTTTTTTATTTCTTCTCCTGAATTTAAATTGATAAACGGAACAAGCTTCAAATATTTCCGTTGCATTCTCTTAGAAGTGCATAATATTAGGAGTCACTACTTCTCATTTGTGCAGTTTCATATTTCTGTGTATTCTCTGGAACGTTCCAAGTCAACAGAATCAAAATATTTTGCATTATACTAGTGATTTCAAAATGGTTTGGGATTTCCACTATTATTCTTACCACATTTGAAGTTTAGATGATGACAACCACCGATGAAATGTGAACTTTTTATGTGCATGAAATGAAAGTCAGCTATTTGTCTAAAATAAATCTGTCATTACGCCTCCAATTGTTCTACTGCCTAAACTGTTGCATTCAATGGTTATTAATACTGCTATTTACTGTTTGCAGTTAAGCTTGAAAGTGGTCGATCAAATGCTCAAGCTTGGCTGGGAAGGTGATGGGCTTCAGCCTCTCATAAAATCATAGTTTGTAGGGTATACATTAATGGGTTACAGATCTTCTACACACAATCAGTTAGGAAAGTTAGGTTGAGGTTATGACACAGGTTTGTAAGCATATTGGTTGCACCCCCCATGGTTTAGAGTTATCTTGTGACATATGTAACATCCTATTGTTACCACTAGTGTTAGATTGCTTAGATTTAGCAGAGGGTTCTTGCTCCTCCAGTTGTGCTATAGTGTTGATATTGTACAAGATTGAGTTCCGACAGAGGTTTGAGCCATTTTTGCCCCACCATTTTTTTATTACAGAGAATGAAAATATAATAGCTATTCTTTCTTGTAATGCAGCTGCTTTTCAGATGTTGCGATTGATTAGATTTTGAGGTTTAAGTGGTCAATATTTGTTAATATAATAACCAAATTTCAATTGTTAGTTTTTCAAACATCTCGTTATAAAATACTCCACGAGTCAACATCGATGTTGCAAACGAGGAAAGCCTGCTATTATATCAAATTGATAGTCTATTATGAAGACATTTTAGCACAGTGAACGTATCAGCAATCTGTGCTAAGACTTTTGTGGTTGGTCAATTTTAAAATGTGCAAAAAGGTTATGAGTTCACGAAGTCAAGCATAAAATATGGTTAATTGTTGTATATAATATATATATATATATATATATATATATATATATATATATATATATATATATATATATATATTTATTGGGACATCTCTTAGGCTTGAATGATAAGAGACTTTGATTTTTTTTTGTTAGTTTTTTCATTTTCTCCACTTTAGCTTTAAAGGCATTTAGATGACACTGGTCCCTTCACATCCTAGCTGCCCAATAACTTTGTAGTGCAAGTAAAATTTATTATTTGAACCATTGAATTTAAACTTTTCATAAAATAATTTGAACAAAATTTTAGACAGTTAAAAAATTATTGATATTCCATTGTCTCACCTTATTTTAATTCAGGATATCTCATTTAATATATTAGTAAATAATTATTATATGATTGTGTAAATGATAAACTCAAATGTTTGGTGATAAAATTTCAATTTACGTTCAGTCTAGAAAAATAAACTCCAATTTGCCATGATTAGCATAGTTGTGGTGAGTTTGAGTAATTTGTGATATTTTAGGTTTAATCTTGATTGTTGTCATTGTATTTTGTTTCATTAACTTATTGTTAAACTTAGTTTTAGTTCCATATGAATTTTTTTTCATTCATATTTAACTTTTGTGATTAAACCAAACCAGCAAATAACAAACCCTAAATATATATATATATATATATATATATATATATATATATATATATATATATATATATATAAAATATTAAAAAATAGTTAAAAAGAATAAAATGATTATTAGTTTAATAAAAAATAAATTCTAAAAAATGTAATATTTTAAAAGAGAGAGTAGTATATTGAAATTATTAAAATAAAATAAAAACTATAATTAATTCTTTTTTTTTCGATATTGAAGCACGGAATTATGAGTGAATATTTAGATTCAAAACTAAACGGGTTTGCCAGCAGAGTCCCCAGTCCGCGCCCGGAACTGTATCTACTAGGTTAGGTTATCATTTGTCTCTATCAGCAGACTTCCCCGCCTTCCCTTCTTTGTCAAGCATCCACTGCCGCAGTTGTTTCTCCTTCTTTTAAACTACCGTGTTCCAAACTCCATCCGCCGTGATAACGAACTCCTCCGAGCAAACCACCAAGAGGATCCGCACACCCTGCGCAAGCGACTAGGAGGCTCCGGCGAGACCATATAGCGACTCCGGTGTGAATCCGCCGCTGCATAGTTGTAAATAACGATAGCTCTCCCCCGGTTCCTTCTGGCTTTGCATCTTTGTAATATTTGATTAAATGGATCATTGAATTTTCCTTCTCTGTTTGTGTCGACTATTGATTTTTGTGCCAATTGATTTTCCTTCTTTGATTTGGATTTACAGTAGAGAGAGAGAGAGAGAGAGAGAGAGAGAGAGAGAGAGAAATGGGAGGGAAGGGAAAGAGAAGGAGAGAGAAGAACTACAGGGCTGCTCATGGTGGCTACAGTGGCCTCCCTCCCCCACCCAATCCTTCCCACCTCGATGCTTTACCTTCCAAACTCCGCAAAATCATGTCTTTCTCTCAACATCAAAATGGTCTTTCTCTTTTTCTCTCACCTTCCATTTCTTATTTTCTGTTTCTCATACGTCTTATCTTTTCAGGGGCTAATGGGTCGTCAAAAAACAAGCATATCGATGATGGCCATGCTCAAACTGTAATTTTTTTTATTTTTTTATTTTTTAGTTTGTTGCTCGTTATTTATTTGTTTTTCATTGTGTTTGATGTTTTATGAATAAGTGGCAAAAGGGAGCTGTGTTTGTTCTGGTTAGATTAAGTTGTTGCTTTATTGTCGCTGAATTGACGAATGTGTGTAGTTGTGATTGTGAGTCCATGATACATTTGTTGGCTTCCTTACTGTAATGATTTATGATTCAGTAATTTCTAAAACCTTTTTTTCCATTATGTATCACTTGCATTGAACTTGTTTATACTCTCAATGTTCTATTTATCTTATCCTTGTGGGTTGCGGTAGTCGGCGTAGCTGAAGGGTATGTACGTTTTGAGGTATTTAATAAAATAAAATTTTAACCAACATGAGAAAACTGCATTTTTGCTAGTATTTGCCATGGTTACCTAGATTCAAGAATTTATGATTAATAGGTTATTATTTATAATGATGTCTTGTTTGTGTATGTATTGTACGATTGTTTGAGCAGAAGACTGCTTCCAAGGGCAAAGGTGATGTTCTAACCGTAGATGTCAAGGAGGGGAATACTAATGGACAATTGAAGGAGCCTCAACATATGGATAGGAGTGAAGAACGACTTGTGGAAAGTGGTACAGTTGAGAAGAAAAAGAAAAAAAGAAAAAGGAAGGATGTTAAAGATTTCAGGTTTGAAATGGAAGTGGATAAAACAAACTCCCAGTTAAAAAGACGAGAGCGTAAGAAAAAGTGAGATAAAGCCTTCATATTTGTCCTTTTTTATTGGGATTAGAGAGATGCACCTTGTTCTCTCTATGTGAAGTCTATTTACAATTTAATTCTTTTTTCCTTATCAGTTTTTGCATCTACTTTTAAATGCAAATGGTGCATCCGAAAAGAGTTTAAAATCTTAGTAATATTGCAACAAATTGAAGAATTTTTGGTTGTATCCATGCTGATGTCTCAATGCTCATTATCATATTTTAAAGTTTAAATAAGACACAATAGCTCTTTTTTGGTTCATTTTATTTTTTACTGTAAAAACTTGAAACAAACAATCTTTAGTTTGGAGATGTTAAGGGTACGGTTTTGTTGGACATTATTTTTTTTTTTTTTATAAACAGATTATATTAGACATTATTGAAATTATTACATTATAAAACCACAACATTTTTACGACAAGTTTATGTTTATGTTTATGTTTTTGTTTTTGTTTTTTTCTTTTTGAAAGGGATTATCAAAGTAAGCAGAAGTGTATGTATTTATACCAATATTGAGGTGGCTAATATGGCATTTGAAGTTGAAATTGTGAAATTTCTTCACACAAAAAAGAATAAGCCAGGACATTGCTTTAGCTTCTTGTAATGTCAATCCTGATAAATTCTTCAGGTATTTGGAAGCAAAGAAGAAGAAGCACAAAAAATCCCATGAAGAAAAAATGGACTTCCCTGGACATGAAAAAATAAAATTTGGAGATATTGTACAAGCGCCACCAAAGCTATCTGTTCCTCCCAAGGTAAGTAGGTGAAATTGTTTGCTTTCCAAAATGGATCAGGCCATATGGTTATTTGAGTAAAATGTGTTGCTTCTGTAATGAAGGTATTCAAGAATGTTTCTCAAGAGAGACTTAGACTCCAGGCTATAGAGGAATACAGGAGTCGCAAAGGTTGGACATCAAGGCCAGGAAGTTACCTTCCACCTCCGCTGACTACATCGGACTCTTAAATCATCCGTATGTTGTGAAGCATACAATGCTTGCCTGAGGTAGTGTTGCATAACATGACATGAACGAAGAAGAAATCAACATGGCTGTTTTGCTTTCCCTTGTTAGTTTATCTTCATTTAGAGGCAATTTATGGGTTCTTACGGGAAGTATGGTCTGATAACAATTTGTGCATGTGTGGGAGTTATTTTTTACACTGTACAATTTAAGTGGTTCATCTTTGTCAATTGCTTCACGTAAATCTTTTCTTGCTTTTGCCAATTTATCTGGGTTTCATAGTAGCTCTGCCATTATCCATTCCACTGTGCTTGATGCTGTGTCAATCCCAGCAGCAAATACATACTACTAAGACAATGTTATGTAATAATAAAGTTTATAACTTGTAATTGAGAACAATATTGCAATTAGTTATAAAATGACACCAAGGAGTTAACTTCTTAAACAGTCAGAGAAATAAGGGAATTAAATACTTTATTAAAATTAATTATTGTAAAAATAACTACCAACCAGAAAAAAAATGTAACATCTCATTGCGACTCAATTGAGAACCGGTTTCTTTGTAGAAATGAATCCAACACATCTTTGGAGTCAGTTTGAACATCTCTTGAGCATATTCTTTCTTCAACAATAGAATATTTGAGTTGAGTCAAGCACTTGTGGGGAGCATACTTTTTTGGCACAAACTCGCCTAAGGTTCCTCCATTGGGTGATGGTGGCAAAAACACAATAGAATATTTGTGATGGTCAAGTGCATGGAGTGAATGTGAGATGGTCCTACTAGAAAAAGACCTGGCCATTTTCATGCAGTACTAGTTTTGCTACTTGAGGAGAGGAAATGACCTTGGTAGTTATGCTGCCAAGTTTCAAACTCATAAGAGGTCCATAAATTCTAGAGAATTTGGTGGCTGCTGTTGTGTGGATTTGTGGCAAGTTCCAAGATGTTTCGTATGATAGAAAACAGATGTGGCCCTGGTGAAAGGTTTGGAGATTGTGAAGTATAGTTGAATAATCAAGGGAAGATGTGTTTTTTTACCAAGGCAAAAAAAGTTGATTTTATCGAACGGTCGAAAATTTTTTATTTTATAAAAATGGGTTAAATTATGTAAAAAAAAAACAAGTTCTCACCTTGAAATCATGCTTAAAAATATAATTTTGACTAAAATCGTGTTATGTAATACGATTTTAGTTGTGTAGTAAAAAAAAATGTACTTGACAGCACGAGTTTCAAATAATTTCTATTGAACTCATTATCTAACACGCATTTTATATTTATTTTTTTAAAATAGGATTTTTTTATTTTTTTTAAATATATTACTTATTAAATAATTAATTTTGACTTAAGTATTAATTTAATAGAAAATAAAAATATTCAGAGAAGCATGGATAAATTTAATCAATATATTTATATTAAAACATTACATAAATATATACATTGTTATAGAGAAAAATTAGCAGTGAGACCCTATCCCATAATATAGTTTTCTTATTTGTCGTTTGGACCTACGTGGTTGGTCTTGAATAGATCTTTGTTGTGCTTGTGTAGTATGCCTACAATCTTGTGATGATTGAGATTGAATGTTTGTTCGCTATCATTATCTTTTTCATCATCATCATCTTCATCCTCTTCATTTGCATATTGCATAAGGGACACATTGGTCATAGTAGTCATGAAAAGTGTTTGATTATATGTTAACGGTTGTGTCATGGAAGAGGTGGAAAACATATTTCTTTCAGATGGAAACAAAATAAATGTATAAGGAACTTGACCTCCAAATTGAAATTGAGCAAGTAAATTTTGAAGTTGACCAACATATCCAAAATATGGATAAGTTTATGTTGATGGTTGGACTAACCAATATGTTAATGACTCGACTAACCAACATGAACATGACAAGGTTGGCCAGTATATTAGGGATGTTCTCGCTGTGTTTCATACTCGTTGAAAAAAATCAATATTAGTTTGATATCAATGTTATATAGATAAAATAAAATTATTTATACACTTACTTTGTTATCCGAATCTTTTTCTTGAGTAGAAGAAATATATCTAATAGTATGTTGAAAATACCATATTATATATGGTGTATTCTCACGCAAGTGATCATTTTCGTTGAACTTGTTTCCTTGAATTAATCAAGTGTACAGTCATTCAACATAGTAACCCAAGTTTCATAGTATTGAGGCCAAAATCTATCAATTCTACCTCTCATATCTTCCCTATGAAGTTTGTCAAGATTGATCGGGTCTTCTAGAATTTGTTGGCGAAGGTCAAATTGCCTTAGAACCCGATTTGTTGGATGAGGCTCAACAATAGCAAAACATATCAGTGGAACCATAACACGACTCACAGGAAAAACCTTAACATTTATTAGTCATTGTAACCAAACTCAATGATAAGGAGTCCACAAAAACTGTATTATTTTATAAAATATATGAAATTAGAATTATTATCATTTAAGAAATAGGCATGGCAACGGGCGGGGCCGGGTTTTGCCCCCGATCCCCGTCCCCGACTTTTTAACCATCCCCGTCACCGCCTCGATCCCGCAGGGTTAGAAATTAAGTCTTCATCCCCGTCCCCGCTGGGTTTCGGGTTCCATGTCCCCGATGTATATTATTTTAAAAAGATAATTACATTTATAATAAATTAATTTTACTATCTATTTTTTATATATAACTAAATATTTATAATTTTATAATTTATAATAATTATTAATTAAATATACATTTTAATTTACTATATTTATATTAAAATATATATGTAAAAAAAATACTTAATCATTTTTTATTTATAATAATATTATTATTATAACACTCGTATTGAAATATTTGGATACTTATAACATTATTGTTATAATACTGTATTCAAACATTTGATTATATATATAAGTTAATTCATTTTTAAGTTGTCATTTAAAAATATGAAATATATAGTTTATAAGGAAATATTTAATAAGTTAATTCTTATTCAATTAGTTCAAAGTAATAAAAGTTTAAATTATCAATTCCTTTAATCCTTTAAAATACAATTATTTTATTAAGATAAAATTTGATATATGATAAATAAGAATAATAAGATTAAAAAAATATGACATAATAAAACCTAATAAATATAAATTATAAATAAAATAATATTAGTTACTACTAAGATTTATGTAAAATATTTAGAAAAAGATAAAGAATAAAAAAAATAACTTTGTGTTCATCAAATTAGTTGAAAAGATAAAAAAAAAACAAATTGATGGGAGAGATTAAGGAAATATGAAAAAGCTGAAAGGTAAGAGAGAGAATAATGTAATAAATTAATTGATATAAAAGATTAAAAAAGACAAAAAATTAAAAAGTGAGTAGAAGAAAAATAAAAATTTGTGAAATATAAAAAAATGACCTTATATGTAATAGAAAAAGAAATACTTTTAAAATATTAATATTTTAAAATTTAAATTTAAATATAAAGTCGGCGCGAGGACGGGGTGGGGATTGCATTACCCATCCCCACCCCGCCCCGACTTTTTAAAGCGGGGAAAACCCGAACCCGTCCCCGCCCCCTGTCAACTCGGGTTTTCCCCGTCAAACTCGGGGCGAGGACGGGTCGGTCCCCACGGGAACGGGTTTAATTGTCATCCCTAAAATACATATTAAAATTTGTAATAAATAAAATACCTCTTTTGGTTTTAATTGATCAAATATTAGACGTAATGTATGTACAACATATATAATCACATTGTACCTTTGTATTGGTCGTGACCACCTATTGAAAACAAAAAATATATTGTTATTAAATGAAGTAATATGAAAGAAAGAAATGGAATAAAAAAATATAAAATAAATTTGATACCTTTTAGCTAACAGAAAACCATACTATGTAACAATCTCCTCATTGGTTCAATCTTTGACAGAAGTATGTAATATGGTCTCATGCCCAGGCTCGAAGCAATAATATACATTCTCCAATGTTCTCCTGATAGTAGTCAACGTCATGATCCAACGCTTTATACAGACATGCAAAAACAGCTTATTATAGTTTAAAACTTGAGTTAGGTCCTGCACTAATAAGAGATACATTAAGTGTACTTTAGATGTTGAAATATCAAGCAATGATAAGCTCCCTATTATTGTTAAAATGTGTGCTCTGATATGTTGTGTCATAACGTTATCGTCTACATCATTTGGAAAGTGTTGGAACGAAGTGTTTAACTAAGAGAGTTTTATAGTGTTCCCTATAGCAACACCTTGCAGTGAGGGTGAACCTAATAATGGTTCACAAAAGATTGCCAAATCTCCACTGGTGAGACATGTAATCAGCAATCAATCAATGGGCAAACCTAATTGTAATGTCACATCTTATAATCTAACTGTGGCTTCTTCGATTAGAAAATGAAAGGTGTGGGTTTCAATTCTTCACCTTTCAACTAACATTGTGATCAAATGATGGTTGATATCAACAATTTCAATTATCATAAAATTCTAAATTCAGCCAAGTGGATCAAATTTTTAACCCGATTGTTCAACATGTGTGCATGTTTTGTTATCCATATATTATATCGCCTATGGTGCAATAATCTTTCATTTCCTTTCCACGATGTTTTTGTGATATGTTTGTCTTAGAGATACAATAAGGACATATCGACACAGGATGACAATGGCAGGAAGTCATTTCTATAAATTACACATGTTAAATTAACAAAATAAAAAATAGCAAAAAAATATTAATAATAATATTAATAAAACAAATATTAATAATATTGACAATATTGATAATAATATGATTAATAATAATATTATTAACATAACAAAATGCAAAATAGCATAAAAACAGGAAAAAAATATTAATAGTAATATGATTAATAATAGTAATAATAACACTAAAATAATAATAATAATATTAATATGAAATAAATGAAAACAATAGAAAAAATTAATACTAACATAACAAAGACGGGAAGAAGTAGAAACTTGAAATTAAAAGACTGAAACAACAATATGAGAACACTGAATGAAC